CCCCGTTACATATGATCTATATCTCTGTGACCCAACAATATTTGTGGTCCAATCTTTACAAGTATGTAGCCTGTATCTGCGTACGTGCCACCGGTCAAACGTCTACCCCCACCACATTTGACTGCACCGCTCGCCACTTTACCCGCACCTTCTGTATGTTGGGAATATATGGGTATAGACCTTGTGAATGGCTTAACAAAGTATTCGATAGGCGACACTCGCATTGTGGTCTTCGTCATACGTTTGAGTAGAATGTTTCACTTGGAGGCTGGGACAGATACCATTTATGACGAAAGTACAGCAAATCTGTTTATCGATTAACTGTTTCGTCAACAATTTTTGCCTGTGACGATTATCTTTGGTAGAGGTCCTCGCTTCACTAAAAAGTTTAGAGTCCGTCCTCAAAGTGCTGGACACCCGTATGGCCATGTTCACAGCGGATCATCCGCAGACCGATGATCAGATCGATAGAGTACACTGCTATATCTGTGATATTTTACGCAGTATATACGACGATATTCCTAATCGGTGGATCTTCATGCTTCCTATCCTTTTGTATACGTTGAATAACGCAGTGTATGCCTCTACCGGCTATACACCGTCCTAAGTGAACGTCCTCACAAACCCTTGCGTTTTGATAACGCTACCACTAAGTGGTTTTGTTTTTTATAAGAGAGAGATGGTCAGTTGACTTGCTGATATCAGCCTTATCACTGCTTCAAGAAGGAAGAGAATTTTTGTAACGCGATTGAATCCTTTTCAAATGACATGTGCGTGACACAATGGCTTATAGCCAGAACAAACAAAAGAAACGAGAAGATGCCAAAGGCAGCGTTAAATTGAAAGTTATGCTACCGGAGACCAAGAATTAATAGATGCAAAAACATCTAAACAAATGTTGTGTCCGATGTCTTCAAGGAAAATTTGAGTCCGCAATTCATTGGACCAGTCACGGTCATCACTAAGAAGGGACTTACCTATAACCTTCTGTGCTAATTTCGAGCACATCCTGCGTTTAACGTTGGCTTACATAAGCTGTATCTGGAACCAGCCCTTGTGCATTTAGAGGCGCTTGCGCTGCCGAATGTGGCTGTGCTGCGAGTCGCTTTATCCGCATCAAGATACTAAGCTGATCCTTTAAACGAGTTGTTCCTACCCCAGGGCTATTACCCGGGTTCATATGGACTCTGGGCGCTTAAAAATCTCTCAAAGACTATGTGGCTCGTTCTTTAAGTCGACGATCCAGTGATGTGAACCAACATGGGATATCAGTGACGTGTTGATCCCTTCCTGTTCTAATAGATTAATATTAGGGCCGTCAGGTTCATGCGGAGAAATCATGGAGCGACGTTGACGCAACGGCCAGAACCGATGCCTGGTAAATCAGCGCAGATATCCTAGCTCAGATAATTCGTGGAGAACTCAAGTAAATAGTGTGAAATCGCTGGTACAAGATTGTTCTCAATCCAGTGACGATTTGAGCGCCGTGCGCAGGGCTCACTCCCAAAACCACAAGCTTAGCACTCGTGTATGCACGCGTTAACGGCTCAATTTTAATATCAAGACCATATTTTCAAGCTGTTTTAGCCAAAGCCCCGGGTGAGATCGCGCTTGTGCTGCATACATGTGCGAGGAATACAGATATAGCGAACGTTATTGACCTTAGACCTTCAAATATGCGAAGTCATGGCGAAATTTTTGCTTTAAACGAACATCGACGACGTCGCCGCTAGATTTAAAAAGCATCCAAACTGTTCAGTCAACGCACGATATTACCCAGCAAGTGAAATGCATCTAGTTGCCTAAATCCGACTCGCCAAGGTAGAGATTGATAAAAAAATGTCTTTATAATGGCTACAGTTGCATCACGTGCATGATTATTTAACCTGGATAGGTGTTGATCCATTGTCATGATTCGTGGTGTCAAGTAGCATTTTCGTAGCGCTTGGCGCGCAGAGATCTTGCTAGGCATTGTAGCCTCCGATTTGAGAATCCACTTTACAAACAATCGACGTGCTACCTCGCTAATCCTTTCGCTAAGACTAAGCGTTTATATATTTTCTCGTCCGAATAAAAGACATGATACTAGACCTAATGCTAGAACTTTGGTCGGCCCATAGATCGCTCAGCTGTTTTTCATCAAGCATATTGGCCAATATTTTATCCTCTAGCCTTTCGTATTTCTCAACGCTGTCAGAGAACTAGCAAGGCCTCTTTCTGGGAACGTAAGCGGTGCTGTAGTGGTTACAAAACCCTGCACAGAAATGCATAAGGATGTTTCTTCACTCGACATATGAGTGTCAATATAATAGTCTACAATATCTTGGGCAAGGATGTGACTAAAGACTGAAGGTCATCATTTGATGGCGTCAAGTTAGCATAGGAATTAGAACGCATCCGTAAGGTTAACCAAACTAGTACTACCAAAAACATAGGATTAATTGAGACGGTTGTTAATTCGCGGTATCAACAGTCTAGAAGGATGGGTGCAACAGATATTACACGTCGGTTGGTAACCGGAATGACATGTGTGGTTTACATCAGGGGTGAATCCCATTGAAAGTGATAGTAGTAGAACTTCTTTTCAGTTGTTGGGGGCTGGCGTGTGTCATCTTCCAGATACAAAATCTTTATAATTGTACTGATTTAGGGCCTTAGTGTCTAGATTTGGTACATTTAGGCTAAGGTGTCCTTTCACATAAACAGAATAAAGTCCAGTTCCCCTTTTGGTCTGTTAGAAATACGTGTCTTGGACACGTACACCTTATAAGGCGTCTCAGGTCGTATCGAGAATAGACCAAGCCTTATTAGTGCGTAGACTATAAGCACTCTGTGCTGTTGTTTGATCAAATCGTTTGGTCCCTTAAGCGAGGACCCTCATCGTTGAGCTTGTTGATTCGTAATTCGTGTTCTTGTAAAAAAAGTTACTCGTTGAGCTGATAGCCTGCCTTCCTCTGGCTAGGAGCTGTACTAGCTCCGCTACAGTGACAGGCCTTCGGGTGGACCAGTAGACTCAAGTGATTGACCTAATTTCGACTATACCCACTGTCAAGAATTCAATGGGTGTCTTTAAGACCACTGCCACAACCAATCGCTAAATCAAAGTTTGTCCTTGGGCCTATCTTTTCGAGTGAATGGATTTTGACCTGGTGTGACGGACTTCATCTCACTTTTAGCAAGCACGTTACTCACTGTCCGAGAGGGTAGCTTTCACCATATTATTGAATTATTTCGTCTGTTCTTTTTTTGCTTAAAAGCGTCAATCACGCCGCGCACCAGCTTCTTCGCGTGCTTGCTTGTCAACCTCTGTCGACTGCGTGAAGTGCGCCAAATCTTTAGCCTATCAAAAGAGGTCGATGCAATGAACGTTCAACCTAGATAATATGGCTGTACGTATATGCAGGTCGGCTTGGTAGACAATGCTTTTGATAACAAGTCTATCCGCACCGCCTCAATCGTCACTTAAAAAGCCATCAGGAATAAGAAGTTGTCATCCAGATTCAATGACTTGTCTTCGGCTCCGTTAACAACTTTATGGTCTGGGCTGGTGAGATCTTGGTGCTGAAGGTCTAAAGCAACTTTTCATTTCAATCTCCAAGGCTTAGATATTTGACCACCAAGTCTCCGCCTGCCCACAGCAATACGGCTGTGCCTTGACCGCCAGATGTTTCCCCTGGACGTCAGTCTTGATGTCCATCGGCCACAAAAACTCACACGCACGCTCCACGAACCCAAGTTGGCGAACAAAATCATTTCCCCGTTGATAAAACCACTAAAAAGACTATGGTTGCGAGCTTTGTCGTCAAAGGGTTGTAGCGCGAGCTTTCGATGCTGTACGTCCGGCATGCTCGCAACCTGCGGTCCAGGATGATCATGCATTTTTTGGCATACCCCACCAAGTTAGTAGCCCGCACGCATCTCTCGCCTGGGGTGTACTGAAACAGGTCCCGCGCCCATGTTGGCGTTCCCTGCAACATGATCCGCTTGCCTTACACTTACATTTACTTGGTCGTGAAGCCTTGTCCCGATGCACGTCCTTAGAGAACCCTTCGAGGATTTTGTGAAGGTGTCTGCTCCAGGTCCTGTAGTGCCACCCCCCACCCCCCCCCCCCGTTTCACTCTCAGGGCCAGATCGAAGATTAAATTCGGCACTTCCAAATGTCAGTGCCGACAGGATCCTTCTGGTAGACCTCCATCACATTCATTCGTTCGAATAGGTATTCAATCATAGCAAGCACCTTGTCCATCGCCCTACGGGCGCTGATAACTTCTCTCTATTATGGTTTTCCTCGGTCTTGAATGGCCGTCGATTACCACTACAGGTCCAGCTTGAGCAGCCTCCCCGGTATCACACTTGATTGTACTTATAACCTGTAGGTTTGCGATGCGTTTGTGTATATATGTGTATGTATTATATATATATATATAATATATATATAATGTGCTAAATTCACACCACTTTTCCTTAGATTCACACCCTTCCTTCAAAATCTGATATATAAAATCCCTATTCATGTTAAGATTTGTTGTCTGACAAAGGTATTACTCAGTAATCTAGGCCATCAATTGGCAAGTAATACGTAATCAATACATATAATACTACTCACGGCTGTGGTATAGCTCCTCCAGCGTTTAATGATAGGGCACGACGCAATAACATGCTTCCTCCTCCCGAGGTTCAGTATTTCAGTCGGTAGCAGCTTATGGATACTGTGCAGACGTTCGAACGTGGCCAAGGCTATGCTGTTACGATTAAAAGTTCGATTGCAGGGAATAGTGTCAACGTTAAATGTGATCGAGGTGCCGTAAACGTAGGTGACGTGAGGTGAAAAGATGAGCCATTAAAAGACGTTAAACGCAAGTCGAGAAGACGTCGATATTCATGCATCTCGTACTTAACATATGCTCAATAGGTTAGGGTATCAAACTGACAGGCTGTCCGTGAAGCATGCTCTAATGTCTGCAAGCAGTCAGGGGGACGAAACAAAGCGTTCTGTACTCTAATCCGAGCCGAGGCTCTTACGGATCTGCTCCGTCACCTCATGCATTTCTGTGTGAGCATTTACTTCCACCAGTTTGCCCTGCTCACGGTAAAAGTCAATCACGGGCTGCGTCTGCTTGTAAGCATCCTCCAGACGCGAGACAAGCGTGGCTTCATTGTCGTCCTTGCGCTGAATCAACGGCTCGCCCGTAATGTCGTCCTTACCGTCCACATTCGGCGTAGAAAACTTGACATTGTTACTGCGGCCACTAGCCAAGTGCATACGTTGACCTGCAATGCGTTCAACCAGCACTTTGTCCGGCACGTCAATAATCACCGCAGCATCCACCGAGGTGTTTTCCTTCGTCAACATCTCGTCGAGCTGCACAGCATCACATACAAAAAGAGGGAACTATGGTCAGCCGCTGCGTTGCAACCTGGACACTCGTCTGTATCTCCTCTTGTTCTCACCTTTTTGGCCTGCACGACCGTTCATGGAAAGTCGTCAAGAATAAAGCCACGACGGCATTCCGAAATCTCGATGGCGTCTTTAATGATACCGGCGACAATCTCGTCGGTCACAAGTGCGCCCGACTCCATCTCGGCTTTGACCTTTTTGCCTATGTCGGTGCCAGCAGCTACAGCAGCGCGCAAGATGTCGCCCGTAGCCAAGTGGCAGAGAAAGTACTCGTCTTTGTCCAACGGCGATTGCGTACCTTGTACATATAATATTTTGAAGGAAGGGTGTGAATCTGAGGAAAAGGGGTGTGAATTTAGCAATTCCCTATATATAGCTTAAGATACTTTACATCGACAATACTACAGCATGCACTACAACGGCAACACAACTTGACCATGTACCCCTTGGATTGCATCCGTCTTACCTGCTCATCCTGTGTAATGGTCCAATGCGTCCCAGATGTCAAGTTGACACGTCGTCGTCCCAGCTGTCATATTGTCACGTCGTCGTCCCAGCTATCATATTGACCGATCGGGGTGATGCAGTAAATTAGCCACGGCCATTTCGACTGGGAGGTCAAGGGTTCGATTCCGCAGGTGGACAGCTCCATCCGCATAGGTTCGAGTCGAAGCCGCGCCACCGACTGGGTCATAAGGGTCGCGGCCGGTAGACAAAGTGAAGCAAGTGTGCAAATAGGTACACCATGGAGTCGAAAATTCTGTAAGCTACTGATCGCAGGTATCTGGGCGATAAAGGAACGAAAGTAAAACTTTCCCGGGTAGAATGAACTACCCCTGATGTCCTGTTGTCACGTCGTCATCCTACACATCAAGTCGTTACACACTTCGCCAATCAGGTGACACCGTTCCATGGTAGTGCACTTAAAACCCCAGAGCTCGACAACCTGCCAAACATGATTCTTACAAAAATGTCCGGCAGCGCACATAATGTGGGAAACCGTTCCTGGCGCCGTGAAATGCTATCGGGATGCTTCATGTCTGGATTGACCCAACGTCGACATTCGCATTGCACCTCCCAGAGGTGCCAGCTAAATGTTGGGACATATTCAGCAGGTGCATGACTCACTGTCAGAGGGTAGACTCATTAGCACTTACATCTGGATATATGGGGTGCAACAGGCTCCCTGGCGACTAGGGATCACACATGCTCTCCAAGCGATATAGGAGAGAACGTGTCGTTTCCGGAATGCCACTATATCTAACAGCACCCATCAAGAGTATCTCTGATGACGGGGCGTATACGTCAGGTCAGGCTTACGATGCGATCCCTAATGCTAGATTACAATGGCGATGTAGATGCTCAGTCCGCGGTTGATGTCACCCACGTGTCATTGACAGACCCAACGAAGGGGTATTTACCTGCACAAATAAGTACAAGATCAAGGTACACGTGCATTTTTCTTTAATAGAGGCGAACGTCGTAACCGTGGCCCGTCAGGGTCGGTGGTGCTCACGCGGGACGAAATGACGGCGTAGCCTGTCCTTTATTAATAGCAAGTGTGTCACTTGCGAGCACTTACATCAATAATTATGTGGCTGAAATATGGGGGCAACTTTTCGGCCTCCGGAAGGCCACTAAATACATCCTTCGTATCACTCACGTCTTCGGAGACAAAAACATGATCACAAGATAGATGCGCAATTGGGGGCCGCCCAAAGAAAATCATTTCAAACACATATTACGCCAATGCTTAGCAAGGGATGATCGCATACACGTGGCCGCGTGGTCTCACCATTTGCATCACTTCAATCGAATAGCTGATGGATTAGTGAATCTAACGATGACCACGAGAACAATGTACAAGTTTACCAAGCGACTGTACCCCTACAACATCCAGAATGGAAGGCAGTAATGTCTCATATGGCTGAAGACTTATATCATTGGCAAGAAAACGCAAATACAGAGTTTTGGAACACCGAGAATAGAGACCATAATCACTCAATCGGGACCCGCTCGCGGAGTGCATTTGTCGTAGTATAATTAGCCCCCAAGCAGCATTGTATATGTAAGCCTGCGCTGGACGGATATTTCGAGTCGTAGAAACACTGTAGCTAACTGACTGTCACGTACTTAGCAAAAACGAATTGCCAAGTTTCACGTAATCACTATCCTTGTGCTAGGACACTTGAGCTTGCATGTCACGTTTGAGCTATAAGCGTTTTCGATTGTTACGAAAAGTTGTGGAACGACTTGGGAAGAGTGAGATCATTAACATGTCGTTGGGCTTCATGATCACATCGTCAGAGCTTTTACTCTCTCGTTATGACAATGGAGTGAATAACATTGAAGTGCTGTCATCGTAGGCGACTATGACTGTTCAAACATGCTGCTAGAAACCGAGTGAATAGAATACCAACTTATCGTGTCACACGTCAGATCTAAAACCGAGGAAATGGTGTCACTTCGAGGCATGAAATATCGCCATACGGGTACAAGCATTCGACGCAAGTGTTTGCGAAGATTGGTCTTAGGGTAAGATTCGATGCTTCCACACGACATCGAGTTTACGAGTCGATTGAGGATTCGATTCGTAGCAATAGTAAACTCAGTAGCTCAAAGCAAGATGGTGAAGATAGTCGGTAAAGAGTTTGACAAAAAGTGTGGTCGCAACTTGTTTGATTCTCAGAGTTGAACGATTTCAGCTGCTGTCTTGCTAACATCTCCTCGCACATTTCGTTTCATCACGATTGTGTCGACCAAGCGAATCAAGTCTGGTCCCTCTCACTCTGGCACAGAGTTCTGGTTGTTTTTTGGTGCAGCGTAGGACCATTACTCGAACACCTTGCACGACAGAAGAACTAGTATCGAGAAGCTAGACAGCAATTTTAAATGTAGAGCGAAAGAATTCGAGCCCACTCTTTCGAATACAGTGAAACAGCTAGCGCCGGTTCGACGATTCGGACCATAGGAGACGAAGAACGCAAACCGATGGGGATCAGATGCGCTGGTAACACCATCTCAATGCATCTTATCACGAACAAGTCAACCGGCGATGTTGCTGTAATTATTTGAATCCAGCATAGCTCTGGCTTGATTTTCCTCTGGCATCAACATAACCTCACATGAGTAATCACACTGTCAGTACCTGCTGGCGATAGTCAGAGCGATGATGATGATAATGACGTTGACTACCTTCGATCAAGTACATTAGATCGGAGACGCCAATTACAGACAACTTCTAGTACTCGAGCAACCCCGGAGGTGTCAAGTAAACTCGATCACTTGCGTGACGTTGTCGCTTCCGGTATCGTATAGATGTACGTATTGGAACCGCGCAAGTCCATAAAAGAGCGAACGCGCTTTTACGCACGGCCTATATTACCACACGCATATTTTTCTTGAAAGCTTGACACTATAGCTAAGGGCCGAAGCCTTCCCCATATCCGCATGTCTGCGAGATGTATAATCACAATTCGATCTCCTGACGCCACTACCGCCAATCGACTTGACTGTCTTTTTTAGACAAGAAGTCCCCGGCGCGCAAGAAACGTATCTAGCGATGCTGTGGAATGTGCCTGTATACTTGTCCTCAGGATACTGCCACTTGCGCGCGAAGCCCGCTAGATTGCTTCTTCTACCTACTTCCCACATTTGCAAAGCTCTTGACGCTCATACCGACGTAAACAAAATCCACACTACAGCAGCGTTGATCACATGAGTCATCCAGCCATTACGAATTGACGAAAGCAGAAGCGTGGAGGTCGAATATGTGTGAGTGAGCATTCCTTATCAGGGTCTGGTGTCACAAAAGGAATTTGGTGTAGCGGATCTGGTACAGCTCCTAGCCAGAGGAAGGCAGGCTATCAGCTCAACGAGTAATTTAGTTTTTTTTTACAAGAACACGAACAATCAACAAGCCCAACGATGAGGGTCCTCGCTTAAGGGACCAAACGATTTAATCAAACAACAGCACAGAGTGCTTAAAGTCTACGCACTAACAAGGCTTGGTCTATTCTCGATACGACCTGAGACGCCTTATAAGGTGTACGTATCCAAGGCACGTATTTCTAACAGACCAAAAGGGGAACTGGACTTTATTCTGTTTATGTGAAAGGACACCTTAGCCTAAATGTACCAAATCTAGACACTAATGCCCTAAATCAGTACAATTATAAAGATCTTGTATCTGGAAGCTGACACACGCCAGCCCCCAACAACTGATAAGAAGTTCTACTACTACCACTTTCAATGGGATTCACCCCTGATGTAAACCACACATGTCATTCCGGTTACCAACCGACGTGTAACCCCGTGTCATTCTATAACATTTGCTGAAGCAGCGACAAGATAAAGTGGCAAATGCTACTTTTCAGTGCATCGATTATATAGGTCGCTCCGACGCCGAGCTACACGCGGTGTTGATAAACGAGATTTGCTCAACGAAGGGAACGTGAAGTGGTCTTCATGTACCGAAATGGATGAGTGTGTGTGCTGGTTGTGTTCCACGGTCGCTCCTAAAGCGAGGTAGCGATTGTCATGCGAGTAGTCGGTCACGTGGTGGCTTCAATCTTGTCGGCGTATCGGAAGATTGAGCTCACTCAAGTTTGGGATACCACGTGGTGGCATCTTTAGCTTAAGCCGCTCTTCTAAATAGAAAGTGCTTTCTTTACTCGGCATCCTGGAAGACTGTCACGAGTGACATCTCAATGTATCCCACTTTTAGAACGCAATAATGTTGGTCGCGTAATTAGCGCGTCCATACCACATGTAGCCATCACAAATCGCAATGTTAGCTCGTATGCTTCAAAGTCAGGTTGTAGTTTCTGTTTTGTAGTTCCATTCTCTGGTAGATCGTTAGTGGTACGGCGTTATGTTGCCGGGCTCAAACGTGTTTGCACATGTTTATGCTTCAGCCGCTGCCACAGACATTGCAGGTATACGTTGGTCATAATTCACACACGCGTAAGTTGACGCCACGAACTGTCAATTGCGACGATAGATCCCAAACAAAATTGCTTACGCCCACGCTCCTGAGTCTGCTCATGAGCAGACAAGTCAGTGTAGTACACTTGGAACGACTTCACGCGTGCGCGCAACAGCCACGCTGCGTATCAAGTCACGAGTGGCTCAATCAGGTGGTCGTTCCTGCAATAGTTTTCCTCGTGCTACGGCATTGGCGGCGCCGCGGTCGGTAGCAGTTTGACGTTCTGTCCAATGAACGTCAGGAAAAAGACAGGATACAGTCGCGTCGACCGAATGCCCGTAAAAGCCACGCCGAGGGTCCGCCCATTCACGTAAAAACTCAGTCGATTCGACTCCATATCGAGCAACACGCCGACGACGTCCCCGTCGTTGCACGGCTCGCCATAGTACTCGATCGCCGTGTGGAACTTGTGGCCCGTAGCACACGCAAAGCCCCACACGACGCCGCGTGTCGCAAACAGATGCGTGTCCAGCGCAACGTCTTCGTCTGCAACGCCTACAAAGACGCCGTCGCCCTCCCGCGCCCGCTCGAGCTGCACTTCCCAGTACTTGACCCCACACGTCACTGCGCCCGTGCCAAGCACCGCGCCGTAGCCTTTTGCCACCTGCACCGCCCGCGAACAAGCGTCCTGCACGAGCACCGTGTCGGCACACTTGGCCGTGTCGAACCGCCACAGGGGCGTCTGCAAGACCAGCACCGGGTGCGCTCGGCCCGCGCCGATCGTCGACTCGCCGAGCGTCCGATGCGGCGCAATCTCGTGCTGGCGCACCGAGTCGGTCTGCACGAGCGCAACGGCAATGTCCGGTCCGAGCTCGAGCTCCCGCCGCACGGCGTCCACCATGGCTTGGCCCGAGCTCGTGAGCGCAAAGGGCAGCGAGAACTTCACGTGCTGCGCGCGCGAGAGCGCGTAGAACGTAAAGACCGGCACAGCGGCGACCAGGTCCGCGTGGACGTAGGCGTGGCCCCAGGGGAATTCCACGTGCGCAAAGCCGCCGCGTTGGCGCGTTGTAGGCGGCGGTCTATCCACGACAGCGTCGCTTGGTCGCTCGCTAACGTCGTCACGAGCCGTGCTGGCGTTTGTGTTGGTTTCAGTATGCAGCGAGCCATAGCCAAAGGGCGTGGAGACGCAGTGGGCGCAGCGAGGTGCCAGCATCGAGTGATGTTTCCTTGAAGTTACAAGCAATGCGCCGTGTGATTCCGCACTGGCCATGTGGCTTCAGCTGTTGGCCCGCACATGAGAAAAGACAGAACCTGCAAGAATCGATGCCGTGTCCGCCGGAACTGGTCGTGGTCGGTCGTTTTTGACAGCCGATTGACCTGCCATGGTGGATTCCCCAACCCCTGGGTCGCATTGACTGCGCCTTCTCCGTGGTTGAAGTTGGCGTTTTTCGCAGACGACAGTGTTTTTCGCAGTACATTCACTCTCACGTTGAAACGCAAGATTGCACTGCGCCCTCTTGTTACACATGGGGGCCGCGTGCTGCCATAGCGCGCGCTTCAACGACCCGCTGCTGTCGCTCGCGGCCTCGGCCATGAGCGTCGAAATGCACCACTTCTACACGCCGCTAACCGCTACGTCCTTGTCGTCTCCTTCGCTCTCGTCTTCCTCGCCCTCGGCGCGACACGCATCGCTGGCTAATTACGCATCTTTTCCCTTTCCGTTCGTCGTGACGCCGGCAGCTCGTGCTGCCACACAATCGGTACACGAGAATACGACTACACAAACCACGGACCACGAACGCACAACAAAAAAGAGACCACCGCAGCAAAAGCAGAAAGGACACAAAACAAGGGCCGCGGCGGCGCCATACGTGGGGCAACATTGGCGCAAGACGACCCGAGGCACGTATGTGCCCCTCACGTTGCTGGAGCTCAGCGTTCGTCGGCTGTGTGCCGAATTCGTGGTACACCGACACACGGCCCTGGACGCTTCGCCTCTGCCTCCAGAAGTGGCCTCGCAGGTCCTGCAGTGGCTGCGACAGCACCATCTCCTCGACAAGCCGCACTTTCGCGCGCTTGCCCCGCTCTTGCTCGCTCAGTGGAACTTGGCCGGCCTCCAAGAGGTGGACGATTCGTGGTTTGATGGCATTCCAGCGACGACGTTGGCGCACGTCAAGAGCATTGACGTGTCGGGGTGCACCTACTTGCGCCGCTTGGGCTCGGACACGACGCAAGCGGCAGTCCAGCTGCCCGAGCTCGTCACGGCGTCGTTCCAGGGGTGTTCGAGCCTCTCGCGCGCGTCGATCGACTTGTTGACGGCGCCGACCAAGTTGACGAGCCTCAACTTGTCGGGCTGTGCCAACGTGGACGACGAGAGTCTGGAGAAACTGAGTGCTTTGCGACACTTGAGATCGTTGCAAGTGGTACGTGGATAAGTGGGGAGGAGGGGTAGAGAGGAGGAAGTAGGGTTTGGTGTGCGGTGGTTGTTGCACGAGGCGGTGACGTTCGACCGGGTGTTGCTTTCTTGTGGCTATTTTGACGTGCGACGCGCTGGTGCTTGCAGAGTGGCTGTCGCAGGCTGACGGATAACGGCGTCACGCATCTGTGGACAATGACGGCACTGGAGAAGCTGCGTCTCGGTCGTTGTGAACGTCTCACTGATGCTGCTATGACTGGCGTTGCATCGTCGCTTAGTGCATTGCGGGAGCTGGACGTTGCCTACTGTCGCTTGAGGTAGGGGCGCGCTTTTGGAAAGAACTGGACAGTGGCAAACGGGTGATGAGTATGTGTGCCTGTTGCCAGCGATCAAGCCATGCACCACATTGGTCGTGTCAAGAGTCTGGAAGTCCTGATCATTCGCGGCTGCCATGACGTTTCGGATGACTGTATGGCATTTCTCGCTGACCTGACAAGGCTCAGGTACTTTGACGCGCGGCACTGTCACAAGATCCACTCTATCCCGACATTGTGGTCGCAGCTTCAAGTACTACTGCTTGGACACACATCGTTTGCTGAGTCCGACACAGCTGTCTTGCAGCACTTTACTGAGCTACAAGAACTCGAGCTCCGCAAGTGCCATATCCTGAAACGGTACGGATTGATGCAATCAATCGTGTGTGCTTTGGACTGAAGAGGGGAAGTTCACTCGTGCGAATGACGTTTGTTGTTTGGTGCAGAGGATTTGAGTACATCAGCCGTCTGAAGAAACTCGCAAAGCTTGATTTGGGCGAGACGTCCTTGACAGATGCTGCACTAGTGGAGATTTGCAACGGCGTCAGCAGCCTGAAGGCACTCAACATATCGAACACAGCAGTCAGCGATAATGGAACGTTCGGCCTTGCAAGACTGAAAAAGCTGCGCACTCTCCACTTGGACACACAAGAGATTACGAACAGAGCCCTGGCTGACGTATGTTTTCTTCCGCAGCTCGAGCGCTTGGATTTGTTTGGCGCAAAGTACGTGGCCGTTTTTCGTGTTTGCCATTCACGGAGGTGGACGAAACGTTGACTAGCGCAATCGTCTGTTGTGTGCATAGTATCACCGACGATGGACTTTTGTATCTTGTGCAGCTACACGAACTACGAGAGCTGACGATATGTGGAGGCAACGTCAGTGATCATGGCGTGGAGGTCATTTCGAAATTAGCGTCGTTGACGTATTTGAACCTAAGTCAAAACCCGTACGTACGTATGCTCTGTGTGTGCGCATAAGTTTTGTACTTACATCGCTGTTTGTGACTCGATTGCAACTGTAGAAATATTACGTCCAAGTCGCTCTCTTGTCTTCGATCTCTGACTAGTTTGCAATGTCTAAATTTGTCGAATACCGGCATCTCAGCGCTCTCACTGCACCGATTATCTCGTACGTCTTTGCATAAACGGCGTGCGTGCAATCGCTAACCTCTCTGATCTTCTTATTTCGGTATGTCATATAGCCCTGAAGGAGTTACAGTCTCTATCCGTTTACGGGTGTTCCCTGTCGCAGAGACACATTGACGCGTTGAGAGGTACGATACATTCGGTCTTGTGTTTGCTTCGCTTTACGTTGCTCACTTGAGTTTTTCATGCGTGATGTCGATTGCTTAGATGTGCTACCGGCACTGAAGTGCCTACGCTGCAATTGAATAAGTGCGATGTAATATCGGGTTGTTGTAAAGGAAAATGGGTGTGAACACAGATGCGTGCAATATATCCGAAGCATTTTCAGTTTAGCAGCGAGTGCCGAGTCGTTTCGTATGTAGAGCGTGGAGACGTTCAGCTGGTCGCAGTCAAGCGCACGGCACGAACTGGCAAAGAGCACGAGTGCGACGGTCTCGTTCTGTTCCATTCGATGACAATGGTGCATGGCTGATTGGTTTCGTTGAACTCAAGGAAGGGAGATTTTGTCCGAAACGAAGACAAGAATGAAATCTCGCCAAGAAGTCGAGAAAAGCAGCAACACGTGAACACAGCTCGAAGATGCCGCTTACTTAACAAGTGAGCGCAGCAGTACTAATTTCGGACGCGTGCATGTTCGGGTGGGACTGAAGCCGCGAGAGGCAACGGAAAGTGACGGCGCTATCGATGACTACACGCAGGGTGTATCGATGATGAAGGAAGCAGGAGTGACGTGCGCACTGTCGAAGGATGCGTGTGCCAGATGCTGGAGGCCATTGGCGTGAGCGATGACAACGACACGATGCAAAAGGCTGCAAAACAGCCATGCTCATTGGCAGTGGATCTAGTTGTTTATTGACGAGGCACTGGTGATGTGCTTACAAGGAGGCAATGAGTTGCAGTCGCTCAAGAACGCGAGACAGCGTCCCTGTATGAGAGAGGCTTGCCAGGCTCAGCATCGTCTTGACGTGCATCCTCTCCCGGTTGTGGTGCATCACCAAGAGCTGATGCTCTTCCTCCAGCTCCGGCATTGACGACCCGGCTTAGAAGCTAAAGTGCTGGTCTGGCGTAAAGCCTAGTTCCTCCAGTGCCGGCAGTACAGCGAATTTCAGCATCGGGGGCGGGCCACACATGAAGATCTGCGTGTCGGGCGCGGCTGCGGGCAGGTGCCTCTTGATCATTGCAGCCGAGACAAAGCCTGTCGAGTACTTCCACCCCTCGTCCGCGCGGTCCACGGTGTACCACACCTTGACGTTGCTATGCTTCGCCACCATGGCCTCAATCTCGTCCCGGCACAAGATGTCGGCTTCTGTCTGATTCGCAAAGAGCAGCGAGAACTCCGTCTTGTCGTCTGGATCCTGCAAAGCCCGACGAACGACCTGCAGCATTGGGGTGATCCCCGTCCCTCCTGCGATCATGCCGATCTTGCGACACTTGCGGACTTCGGGCACGACATCACGCATGCGGTGTTTGATGTGGATCTCGCCTTTGCCGACGTACGTGAGCTTTCCTTTGGGACCAGATACTTCAATGGTGTCGCCGATCGCTAAGTTGTCCAAGTACTGACTCATTTTGCCTCCATCGGGGAATTTCGGGTGCACGTTTTTGAAGTAAACCTTGATGACCAGGTCCACGTAACCCTTCGTGTCGTCCGAGGTTACAGGGGTATACGACCGCATCACCAGCTTCCCACCCTCGTCCGTATAGCGCAGCGAAATGTGCTGGCCAACGGGTAAGCCCAGCACATGCTGTGGCGACGGTAGTGCAAAGCGGAACCGACGCGAGTCGTGCGACAGTATCTCCTTTTCAATGAGGGGCAAGTGCACGGTCGAGGGCGAGTCGCCCGCGTGACTCGGGCTTTGCAGCGTGACGGGCGTCGCATCACGAGGTTGGAGACGACGAAGCAGAAGGTACAGCGTCGTGCCGGCGACGAGAGCTACGCCGAGCAACACGCGCAAGTCGGTGTTGATGAGAGGCGCAAACAGATCCATTCGAGCACTTGGATTGAGTGGATGGATGGATTGAGCAGCTCTAGTGAGTGAGTGAGTGTGAGTGGGTCAGTGATATCGATTGGATCAGGCTAAGCGCAGAGATTGAAGATCTCGTCACTGCTTGGGATACGGTGTGGGGTGGCACGCAACAGTCCGTCGTCATTCAAACGAGGGAGCGACGATCGCTCTGGCGTACCCGACCACGCGGTGCGGTCTCACCGACATTGTAAGCTTTGGTCCACGTTGTGCTAACTTTTTGTGCCTGTGTCACAAAACACACGGATAGGGTCTACTACGACAAAGAATGGCTCCTGACTACCACGATTGCGAATTTTAGCCAATTGGGCTCGTTAGATCGCCCATTTTGTCTCAAATGGATTACTCGACTTGTTGCTGCGAGCAAAGAGAATGAGCACTCGCGCTCAGGTGCTCGGCGGGTACCGCCGTCTATTGCGGGCAAGTCGTCAGGCCTTCCGAGGAGACGCTTATGCGCTACAAGAGGCGCGTGGGGCGCTGCGTGGCAACTTCTTGGACGAATAGCCACGTGCAAGACACCGAGGAGCTCAAGGCGCTGGTGAAAGGCATTGACGAGGCTGAAGGAATGCTGCTGCATCATATCGTTCAAGGCCGTGCCAAGCAGGGAGAGGACGGAGAGACTCGACCGCGTTTCGAGGTGACGCTCACGGATCCGCAGCGTAAGGCCATGCGCAAGGACGAGGAGATCGTGCCACTCACGGAAAAGTCAGCAGCAGAACCACTTGTTGTAAACTCTGGCAACGTCTGTCAGCGTCCGTCGTAGAGAAAAACAAGGAGAGAAAAGCAGGACGACATGGTGCAACTTGTTAACGATGATCCGAAAGGTTTTGGCCGAAGGAGGATGTTCCGAGAACGGATGGCGCGTATCAATCAATGTGGAGTTCATCGCGGTCAGGCGAAGCGACACGACAGTGTTCGTAATCTATTTTCGATCGATGTCACAACTCTTTGTCCAGAGGTCTTTTCTTTCCTCCGCTGTTTTGTGCACACGACTTGTTGCGCCGATTCACCTCCGAATAGCGATCTCCTCCTCTTCCTTCCATGCCGCAGACCCCTCCACGAGCATATACAGCTTTATCGATAGCTGCCAGCGAGCTACATCATGCGTTTTGCGCTTGACTGCTTGTGTGTCGTGCGAATGTCGCTCGTTAGTCCGCCTTCAAAGCCGTGCCGCGGCTGAGCTTGTAGGCGTCGTAGAGGTACTTTCCGTTCAGCATGTCCAGGAGCGTGCGGAATGTCGACCGCTGCGTCTGCTTTTTGCATTTCCCGCCGCCGCGTTTCTCGTCTGCGTCGTCGTCTGTGACCGCACAGACCTCTTGGTCCGTCATGGCCTGAGAAAACCCAATCATTGCTACTAGCAACGACAGGAGCAGCAGAATGTAGCGCAGTGGGCACATGGGTACAGCAGTGATGAGGAACTGCGGCGGCGGCTGCTGCTGCGCGAGAGGCCAATTGCTGAATGGAATAACTGTCTGAAGAAAAGCATCGGCCGTAAACGCGAATGTCTCTCCTCCTCGGGTGTCCAACACGCGGAACAGCTGATCCGACAATACGTTCCTCTCTAAATTGGTAAAACCAAATATCGTAGTCGCAGTGGCATCGTATCGCTGCAATAGTCTGTATATTTGATGACCTGTTCAAGTCGATAACGACGAGAGAGATCGGATCACCGGCCTTCGCCCATGGCATATAGGGGTAGTCGCAACCGCCAACCCTCACTTCCGATCACTCTGCAGCTCACTGCGTCTATTAGGGGTGCAAGAAAGCGCTGTTTATGCGCTCGGCAGAAGCCGCAACTCGTATGACACGGTCTCCGCTCAATCCTGTCGACCATATGGTGTCGTTCGACCGGAGCGCAGTTGATGGTGAGGGGCGGGTAGGTGAGCTCGCCGGGTCCACTTGTCTCGCTTGGACAAAGCAGCTGCAACAATTCTTCTCGCTGCGCTGTCGGCATTCTCTCCAAGTAATCATAAGTCCGAAAAACTCGGTTTTGCTCGGAGAATATTACCAAGTAGAGGGTCTTTGCGATCGACTGCGCTCTGCCCAGATGCGCACGACAGCAGCAATGATGCGCCAGGCGTCACCCACCTCCTCTTTTGTTACGTCAACCGCCTTTATCTTACCAAGGCCGCGACAACCGCACCTAGTGGATAGTTTACCGCACGTAGGTACCACTAACCTACACTTTGACCACCACGAAAAGTAACAACTCCACGTCGTCGTCGTCGTCGTCCGTCAATGCAAAATCGAATGGCCGGGAAGAGGTCCGCCCCGTCATCCACAACAGCGCAGCCGCCGCCCAAGAAGCGCAAGAGCTCGAGCGGTCCATCGATTCCTCTCGTTGTGCAGCAACGCGTAGCAGCAGAAGACGTTGTCGATGCGTTCCAACTCGTGGCGAACACCGATACCCCCAGCGCCACGAAAGCCCGACTGCTCTTTGCGTGGCTCTTGTACCCCGTGACGCCCGAAGAGTTCTACGACAAGTACTGGGAGCAGCGGCCGTTGGTGGTCAAACGGCAGTGCTCGAGCTACTACGACGGCTGGTTCAGTAGACAGGAGGTCGACCGCATTCTCAAGACGCACACGCTGGACTATGGAACCGATGTCGACCTGACAAAGTACGTCGACGACACTCGCCATACGGTCAATCCCTCGGGCTCTGCAACCGCGAAACAAGTGTGGACGCACTTTGACGACGGCTCTTCTGTGCGGCTATTGTGTCCGCAGAAGTTCTCGGACAGTGTGTGGAAACTGTTGGCCACGCTCGAAGACGAGTGGGGCTGCATGGCCGGCGCCAACTCGTACTTGACACCGAAGAACACGCAAGGCTTTGCTCCACACTTTGACGACATTGAGGCGTTCTTGATGCAGACAGAAGGCTCGAAGCACTGGAAAGTGTACGAACCGCTGCACGCTCGTGATATGCTGACAAGGCACTCGAGCGGCAACTTTCGAGCAGAAGAACTGGGCGACCCGGTGCTGGAAGTGGACTTGGAACAGGGCGACTTGCTGTATTTCCCACGAGGGTTCATCCACCAAGCACGTGCACACAAGGACACGCACTCGCTGCACCTGACTGTGTCTACGGGTCAGCAGAATTCCATGGGCAACTTCCTCGAAGTGCTCTTGCCCCACGCCCTCGAGACTGCTATCAACACGAACGTCGACCTGCGTCGCTCGTTGCCGCGCGACTACTTGAGCTACATGGGCGTCATGCACTCGGACCGTCAAGGCGACAAGAAGCGCCTGGCGTTTGTCACGCAGCTCAAGAACGCGCTGAAGGTCGTGCTGGGCGAAGCCATGGACATGCTCGACGCTGCGTCCGACCAGATGGCCAAGAACTTCCTCGTGGACCGGTTGCCACCGGCCCTCGAAGACGACGAAGAGAACTGCACGAGCGACAACAGTCCGCTGCAAAAGATCACCGTCAACACGCAGCTCAAGCTCCTCCGGCACGGCATTGCGCGCCTCGTGATCGAAGACGGCAAAGCTGTGCTCTACCACTGCCGAGAGAACTCGCGGCTGCACCACGAAGTCGCTCTTTCCCCGCTCGAGTTCGAACTCGATGACGCCGAGAGCATCGAGTTCATCCTCAACAGCTATCCCGACTACTTTCGAGTCGGCGACCTCCCACACGAAGACCCGCAAGACCAGCGAGACCTCGCGCTGGCGCTGTACAAAGAAGGCATCCTAATGTTCCAAAAGGCGTAACCAATTAACCGACCACGCGATCAATCAAACAAACGCTCGACCATTTATCCATCCACGCGATCAATCAAACAAACGCTTGCTAATCCATCAAACAGACGGTCGACACGCACGTGGTCCTCTCCGGCACCGACACGACTCTCACACACTGCGTCCACCACACCAGTTGGCACCCGCGTCCTCAACTTGCACTTGGTGGCTGCGTTAACTCACGTGCACCACACTATCTCCGCACCCGCCCGCCACCGACGCCGCGCGACTCCATCTCATGCGCTCGACCGGTCCGACGCCGCCGCACTCGGCCCCCAGCGCCGCCCGTCGTCGCCACCACGCGCGCCCCGCCCACTATCCCCAGCAGCAGCAGCAGCAGCAGCACCAGCAGCAGCAGCTGCACGCGCCGCCGCATCGCGACGTCGTCGCGTGGGTCCCCGACAGCTTAGCCGAGCGCTGCTACAGCTGCCAGACGGCCTTCTCGCTCATGCTGCGGCGCCACCACTGCCGGCGCTGCGGCAACGTCTTCTGCGACACGTGTTCCTCGGCGCGCATGCCGCTGGTGCACTCGAACTACTTTGCGCCCGTGCGCGTGTGCGCCAAGTGCTCTGTCGCGGCCAAGAAAGCGCACGCGAAGATGGTGTACCAGCGGCAGACGGGCCGCAGTCGGCGGCACGAGGCGACGACTGCGCCGCGGCGGCACAGCGACACTAGTGGCGGACGGGACGAGTTGTTGCACGTGGCCAGTGGCCGCAATAGCAGTTTCGTGCTCTTGTCGGACGGCAGCGGTCGCACGGGCGACGGCGATGGACAGCTCGAGGACACTGCCGCGGCGTGGACTGGACAGAGCAATGGCGGGGGACGGATACTGGACGACCGACGGGACGGGAGCGAGTTGTTTATCGGCAGGATCAACGGAGGGTCAAGCGCAGTGTCCATGTCGAGTTTTCGCGCGAGAAACGGCGACATTCTCACGTCGAATGGACGACGTCGACGACGACGAGACAGAGGAGAAGACGTGGACGAAGACGGTAGAGGCCGATCGCAGGTGGAAGTACGACGCGTGTCGCTATCGGCGTTGCCGCTGGATCGGAGAGACGTGGCGTGTGGAACTTACAGTGACCGCGAACGCACGACAAGTGACGAGACGGATGATGGCGGTGCACATAATATGAACAGTGGCGGTGCCGGTGGCAGCGGTGGTTGTAGCAGGGACAGGTATGCTGACAGCAGGTTCCAGACGCTGCCAGGTGAAGCCGTGTTGGTGAGGAACGACAATGTGCGCTTGCGGTTTCTCGATCACGTGGAACATGTTGGGAGGTTGTATGTGACCAACTTTCGACTTGTGTTCAGCCCAGCGTGGAAGGAGTCCGTGGACGATAGTCGCGTGGTACGATGTGGGCTGGAAGAAGCACGTACGATGATTCATGCAGGCAAACTGGAGCTCGTTGATGCGTGTGGGTTACACGCAACGTCATACAAATCGTACCAAGCGATTCCACTCGTCACGATCGAGCGTGTAAAGCGAAAAGAGATGGTAGAGACGGATAGTGGACTCCTGGAAATTGTCGGCAAGGATTTTCGCTGGCTGCAGTTTGTCTTTGAAGGGTTGGTGTCGAAACAAACGTTCAGCAAATTTGATCGCTCGTATGCGCTTGCGCGATTGCACGCAATTGGTGAACCAGAAGGAAAAGTGGACGAGTTTGCAAAGTTTTCGCTGGAAAGGTTTGACGGCGTCAATGGTGCAGTAGATGGCTGGACGATATTTGATGCAGTGACAGAGTTCCAGCGAATGGGCATATCTTCGTTTACGGATCGCTGGCGACTGAGCTACATAAATGGTGCGTACGATCTGTGTCCGACGTATCCATCCGTATTGGCCGTGCCCACCGCCGCGTCCGATCGAGTACTAGCAGTGGCCTCGAAGTTTCGGTCGAAGGGGCGGATACCGGTTCTCTCGTGGCGCGATCGCAAAACAGGAGCAGTGATTTGCCGCAGCAGTCAGCCACTTGTTGGACTCGGACAGAAGCAGTGCGATAAAGACGTGTTCCTCATTCAAGCGATTGCAGCGACAAATCCTTCGTCGACCAAACTCGTGATCATTGATGCGCGACCGTGGAAAAACGCGATAGCGCAGAAGACTGTCGGTCGCGCTGGATATGAACTCACCGAACATTACGAGACTCGGCATACCACAGCAAAGCTGAAGTATACAGATATGGTAGCATCAGAACAGAGCGCAGCAGCAGCAGCTGCTGCAGTATCTGCTGGTCCTACAGCAGGTACTATTCCTGAGATCTCCGTCGATGGAGACATGCATTATTTGGATAGATCTTGCGGAATCAATGGATCGGGTGGTGGTGATGCAGGCCGACACAATTCGGAACCGACGAGACCGTCATTGGTCTTGACCGAGTGCAAGCTGATATTCATGGGTATCGAAAACATCCACACGATGCGTAAAAGCTACCACAAGCTTATGGACTTGTGTACTACAAAGCAGAACAACGACAAGTGGCTTGACCAGTTAGCGTCTACCCACTGGATGGACCACGTCTCTCGCATTTTGGACTCAGCTGTTGAGATTGCACGGATCGTCAAGGAACAGAAATCGAGCGTCCTGATTCACTGCAGCGACGGGTGGGACCGTACGGCACAGCTGACGTCGCTGACAGAGCTGTTGATCGATCCCCACTACCGCACAATCGACGGATTCCAGCTACTGATCGAGAAGGAGTGGTGTTCGTTTGGCCACAAATTTAGAGATCGAACGTCACACGGAGCCAGCAACAGTTCCAATGAGTTCTCTCCGATATTCTTGCAGTGGATTGACTGCGTCTGGCAAGTTTTGGTCCAGTTCCCGAGCGCTTTTGAGTTCAATGAGCGATACCTCATCCTTATCCTTGATCATCTGTACTCGTGTCGATTTGGTACATTCCTGTACAACTCGGAACGCGAGCGCCTGGAGCAGGAATCGGTGCATCCGACGCAGTCGCTGTGGTCGTACCTCAGCACGATCGATCGCGCGATCGTGATGAATCCTTTCTATCGACCGCGAACGGCATCCCGTACGAAGTGCACAGAGAGCGTCACAGCCACTGAGCAGTGCGTGGGAAAGATGGCGGTACCGGCGTACGGAAGTTTGCCCAATGAAAGGTTCAAAGATGGATTCGGGTTGTCCGTTGGGCTTGATGCACGTTGTCGTACTACCACTGCAATAGCTTGCAAAAGTACGGGGTCCGTGGACTTGTCACCTTTACGCTCCGAGGCTGAGTTAGCGGATACAGGCGCAGGTATTCACTTCGGGTTGGATGTGCAGCGTGACCGTTTCGATAATGACGATTTGCAGCAAAGAGGCAATGGCCGGGATTGCGAGCGTGAGTCAGACATGAGAAGTGTCCAGTCATCCTGTCCCCGTAAGCTTGTAATAATGCGTGACCTCGATTCGGGCTTGTCATTCCCACAATCCCTAGACGCGTCGTCTCTGTCCAAGTATACCTCCCCACTACCAGTTGCACCCCGCTCCCGGTCACTCAACTTTTGCTCGAACGCAGGCGACAGTGCAGCTGTTGGAAGAGAGCGGGTGCCAAATGCTCGCTCGTCTATGACATCTTTTGTAGTGCCAGCAGAGGAGCTGTCTGCGAGCGCTATGTGGACTACTTCTGGCACTGGAAATGCAGCTGAGGCCGATGAGGCTGGTCGCTATGGTGACTCCGCGTCTTGCGAAGATGTGATCATACCGTCCAGCTCGATGAAGTCGCTCCATTTCTGGGTTCACTACTACTTGAGGTGGGATCCAAACAGTCATTTCGACCGTGATGCAAGCGTGAAGCTGGAAACGTTGCATTTGGGCCTGGTATTGCAGATAAAAGCATTAACGCAGCGGATCGATACCGTTCGAGAAGGTGAAGCTGCGAAGTGGGAGCACAAGATGCAGCATAGTTTGTATGATTCGCAGAATCGTTGCGATTGCGTTGGAAGTACCACGAGCAGCTTGTCGCCATTACGAGGTCGTCGTTGTTGCAATCAGCGAGCAACATCGGGAGGCAGTACGTCTTCTCAGGACTCAGGATTTGGTGCATCTCTTACGACCGAATCGAAAGATGCCATTGCTAGCTCGCAAGATCTGGAGAGCCAGATCGCGAGGCTGAAGTTTGAAAAGCTCGAACGACTTCGAGAAGCAGAAGACATCTATGAGGAAGAGCTCACTCGTTTGCTACGAGAAGCTGATTGACGTCGAGACAATTTGATACAAGACGTGATCATACACGCGTACACAGTGTGTCTAAGTAAGACAATGGACACTGTCGCTACGTAGTTGTTACCGACTCCAGCAAATGTGTCTGGAAGTACCCTCGGTGGCTAGGTTGTCGCCGAGATCCAAATTTTGCAACCATAGATGGTCGTCTGCATAGTCAGCACCACGATGATGTCAACAAGTAATACAGTCATCATCTACACACTGAACAAACACTGGACGACGGACCACAGTTGACGTCGTTTGTCAAGCAGGATAGAACACACGAAGTTGCAGACGTTGAGTCGTAAGACTGAGCTCTGATGCTTGTGTTGGAGGTTAATGGTGCGTTCCTTTTGGTCCACGATAGGCCGTTTGCATCATGACACCCTCTAACAGAGTTCTGATTGTGTTGTGTTGTGTTGTCACGCCAGCTGTGTGTGGATGTGCGTATTTTGTTTGCTAACATTTGTTGCTTGTCGTATCAGGTATCTGTCTGTCTTTGGCTAGCGGAGCTGCACACTCGTCGTGGTAACTGTCTTTTTACGATGAACAACGACCAGTGCCACATCGTCGAGTCATTTGATGTCCCGGATGACGTTTACCGCAAGGATCCGTGATAGTCTCGTAGTCGTCGTTCGACTACCGATCGACTTTCTTTTCCCTCTCTGATGCTAAGTGGCGATAGTTGACGCCTACTACACCAGTACACGCAAAAATGACAAGGCAAACTCGTTTTTGGCAACGAAATTGAAGTAACAAAAACCTCTCTAGCAGTTGTCACCCAATTAACGGACGTGAAGGCGGTCGTTTGGAATGCTACACCCTCAGTACAATGAGAAAAGAGTACTTAGAAAGCAAACACATAGCGCATCTAATGCGCAGAAAAGATAGGCCGACCATGCGAGTAGATGCAGCGTAGATGCAGCGTAAATGCACACAACATAGTGCTGAACGGGATAGGCCGAGTACTGAAGTACGTACACACTTTGCACCGTACAGAGAAATGGGCTGGCGAAGGGCGATATTTGAAAAGCTTCTGTACATAAAAGGAATTGAAACAAAAAGGGGAACAATGGAAGAGGACGGGTAAGGTAGTGGATATTTGCAATAGCTTGAGGTGGCGCGGCGGTCACGAACGGAGGGCTTTGAGGAATCTCATCATGGTCTTATGTCCTCGAGCTGACGACATTTTCATTTCAAGCCAAGCGCGCGTCGAAGGCTTTTTGAGAATGATCCTGAATGGGTCTATCATGTTTTGGCAGACTCTGTCAAGTCGCTACTTGTCGACCTTATCATGTATGGTGTCAGTGACCGACTACACGTATGCTGGCCATCACCTTCGTAGTAGGCAGTGCGAATGTGGTGGTGTGTTGTTTCGCAGAAAGTGGGCTATCTCTCGGTGAAGTGTGGACCCACTTCGGGTACGATGTGCATGTGCATTTTCCCATTTTCTTAGATACGGGACCGTAGCTGTGTTACAAGCAGGTGCCCGAGGAGATACTTTTCCGTTCACGACGGTACTCACTTGACCATAGCATCGGCAAGTAGTTGTGTCCAAAGCGCCATCTTTCCCGTAAGCCATAGCTTTAGCCGTCAGGAATGTTTCGCACGGAAGTGTGGCTGTTGACAAGAACAAGACAGCGGCCAAAAAGTAGACTGAACAATCATCATCACTGCATCACCGCTACATTTCACCGCGTTCCATAGGTACTTTCAACTGTAGTCGTATCGTGCTAGCACTGTTCCTCCAAGACTGCCCTTGGTCTCGTTCTCGATACACACTACTTCTTGACGACCTCTGACCCGACAAACGCATCACGTCTGCTGTCACGCGCTCTTTGCTTAGTTTTTGCTCTTCTTGTTGCGCTTCTGGGTAGTCGCCACCGTCTTGTTTGTCACCGTCTTTTTCGGGAAGCTACTGACCGATGCACTTGGGCTTGCATTGACACGAGCCGTCTTCTTTGTACACTCAGACTTCGTCGTTGAGCTATGCTTGCGCGAACTACAGCACAAGCCACACGTCAGCACCCACAGCGTCGTCGTCAACAGCCACCACACGAGACGGAACCCCAAGCGGGTCCAAAACAGCGCCAGCGGGACCGCAAGAACGATCAGCACAGCGTCCACCACTTTCTGCGCATAGGCCGCCACATGTTTGTATTGCGCCAGCATCTGTATCGCCTTGATGCGCGCCTGCTTGGCATGACGCAGAGCCGCGCGCGAGTACACGAGCGCTCGCTTCTTTGCTTTCACTGCGTGTTGCTGCAGGATCGGCATGTACTTTTCCACTTGCGGGTGCACAACCTTGTGCACGTCAGCCAAAATGGGATCCAGAATCGGATTCAACGTGGGCGCCACGTTCTCCTGGTAAAACTTACTCGTCGTGTCACGCGTGACTTTCTTGACACTGTCAAACTTAGTCTGCACCTGTTCCAACGTGTCTGCGTGCTTACTGAGCCGATCCTGAGCAAACTCGAGCGTCTGCTCCGTCAACACCCGCGCGCCGTCGTAGTACGACGACAGCAACGCCATCATCGTGAGCTCTGCAGTCTTGGCTACCCCCAGTTCCTGCCCCATTGCCTTGTTCTGCGTTTTCAAAAGCGCGTTCGTCTTTTCCAGCTGCTGCACTTTGTCCGTCTCGTCTGCAACTTTCAGCTGCGCAGCCTCGAGTTCGGCCGTAAAACGCGCGCGTTCGGTCGCGAGCGTCTCCCTCAGTTTAGTGACATGCTCTTCCTGCGCAACAACGCGCTCATGTGCGGCCTCGAGCTCGCCCCTGGCCGTCTTCAGCTCGATCTTGACCTTCTCGAGCGCTTGCTTCTCCTTGACAGCGCCCGTCTCGAGCGTCTCGAGCGTCTGCGTGAGCGTCTGGACCTCGTGTTCCAGCTTAAGTACGATCTCCGCGTCGGCGTGCGTCTGCTGGTCCTTCACCTGCTGCGGGTCGGCACCTGTTGACGCTGTGACTGGCGCATCTGCTTCGACGACATCAACGGACGTGGCCAGCGCAGCAACGACCAGCGCGACCCAATAGGCCGCACGCATGACACAGAAAGTGGCTCTTTGGTTCGCGCGTTTACGTGTGCGTCACGAGGCGAAAAGAATTGTGCGCCCTGTAAACAGAGAGAGAGAGAGAGAGAGAGAGAGAGAGAGAGAGAGAGAGAGAGAGAGAGAGAGAGAGAGAGAGAGAGAGAGAGAGAGAGAGAGAGAGAGAGAGAGAGAGAAAGATAGCGATGTGGACGGACTGGAAAGATACGCTTGCGGTTAGTATGGCGCGTGCGACAAGAGACAACGATGGCGTGGGGTGATGTTTTTCAGCCAATGAGATGCCACCGCGGTGCCCCGCGAACAGGTGGTGGGCAAGCGACCCACGTGTACCGCGCGCGTGATTTGTCGTGAAGCGACAGTGGCGACGGACTGTTTGCTACGTCGGACGAGAAAGTCGTGGGACAGTCGATTGACACTTTTGTGGACCAGCGCTTCGGACGTTGTGTGGTCGCCATGTCGTGTGCTTTTTTACTTGACGATAGTGTCGTGGACTGCTAGTGTGGTACCCGATCTTGGACCATTTACGCGCTAGAATAAGCTTTGCAGCTGCTTCTCCGCGTGACGATCGTAGCGCTGTAATGGCCGTACTGAACATCGATCAATGACTGTGCATGTCCATAGACACTCATCTCCTCAGCATGGAGCACGAGCGTAGACGAGATCGCATCAGCAACTGACGAGACGTCATGAACAGCGAAGGAGCGAGAACTGCAGTCGTAGTAGAGCAATTACAAGTGGCTAGCTGTCAGTGACGAGCAAAGCACTGTGTCCGACAAGTTGGAAGGAATTCAAAAGACTTCGAGCACGTAGGGCCGCCGCGGACACACTGCGATAGTCTTTTTCTTGCCCGAAAATGCGTCGCTCGCCTGTATCCTCAACAATATGCCATGTTGGTAACGTGTTGGTAACGGTCAAAGACTGCCACGATGCACTCACTTGTTCTGCACCCTCATTTCTGCCACAGCCCTTCCGTTTTTCTCTGCGCATGTACGTGTCGGTTAGCGATCAAGTCGTTCTGCATGAGCAGCACGACGCACGTCAGTCGCTCGTCGGTGTGATGAATGTACAATTATCGAGCAAGCAGAGCTGCAGACGTGAATATGGGCTCAGGCTTTCCTGCTTCGGACAAACGTTGTCAGAGTTTGCCAACCGTTTCGCGATACTACAGCGACTGTGCCATCCCGCGGTCATCTTTTGTGCAGATGTGTGCACTTGCAACGGGATGCACTTCACCTGTACTTGAAACAGGTAATGCACAGATGCAATTACCGATCTCAGTATCTCAGCTCTTACTTTTGCCGTGTGTGAGTGTGGTCGAAGTTGGACTTACCGTTTATCCTTTTCGGCTCGTGGCGCCGTCCTCGTGATTGTGCCGGAATTTGTCCTCGCTCTGTGCTATACCTGATCGACTTTTACTTGCAGCAAATGACCATATGACATGACGTGATGCGGGCTCTCGTGCATTAGAGGCGTGACCATATCCTGTCGACGGTCAAAAAGCAGCACAGTACTCTGTTTCGAGGCATGCGAAAAGTCGACAGTCTGTGCTACGAAGTGGTTTATCGAGGTTGGAAAAAGACGGGTCAGTCTCTTTCACACGATCATCTCGAGCTGAGCACCTTACGTGCGGTTACTCTTCGATTGTATCGCATACTAACCCGTACCTCGCTACTTATCGTGTTGTGGCAAGAGCGTTTCTCTCTCCTATCTCATGCATTGCAAGTGGCGAATACAGGATACGACTCGTTCAGAATTCGCCAAAAGGAAACACACACTTTCGAGCGCTAGGAGACAGTCGATATGTACCTCCTGAAGTACCTCTAGTCGTTGCCACAGCATCCACGGAACGAGGCGCACAAAGCACGTTTTGTCTGCATACGAGAGGAAAGAAGGTGCACAATGTTGTGCGCGGCTTTTCTCGCGTCTTTAACGTCTCGAGCGACCGTTTGCGGTAGTAGTACAGCAGATGCAATAAAGTATACGGCAATCGTATAGCAGAAAGGCTGTCGCGCGAGCTCGAGGCGCTTCCCGACACTTGTTGCACCACACTCTACCGCTCGACCTGTTGTCGATGCTCGTTGTGCGGCAACGCTGCAGACGTTGCACTTGCCACGGCTGACATGTGCGTGCGTGCGCCCAACGACAAAAAAAGCAAAGGAATGATGGTCACTTCAACCTACTGCTCGAAACGCAGGTGGACCACATCGATGATCCACGCGCAACTGCGTACTTAACGACAACGATAAAAAAGCACCCGGCAGTTGAAAAAGTGTTTTTTTTCGATGCAGAACGTGAGTCTCAGTCGCCGGCGCGAGCACGTCGCGCGTCATGGGCTGTCCATGCTGTCGCTCTACAACGAGGCGCCGCGGGTCGAAGTGTCGCTTGAGCAGTTCGAAGAGTTTGCCATTGACCGGCTGCACGTGCTGAAGGCCGTCGAGAACTACCGACTGCGCAGCGTGCAGATGAAAGACCGCGAGGGGCGACTGGACAAGACGCTGAACAAGCACCTGCCGCTGCGCGCAGCTGCGTCTCGACGCGCTGGGCAGACGGAAGACGATACAGTGAAAGACGTGCTGTCGCACTTTTTTCTGCGCATGGCGTTCTGCCAGACCGAAGAGCTGCGTCGGTGGTTCCTGACGCAGGAGAGTACGTTATTCCGGTACGGGGGTCGTCGAAAAAAAGAGCTTTTTATACAATGGAGTGCAAGAAAACCAATGGGATGTGTGCACGTACGTTGTGCTGTGCTCTGGTGGCCATGTTGTGGCAGGTATCGTCTGGACAAATTGACGAGAGACGAAAAGATTCTGTTTATGAAGCAGAACGGTCTGTCGTACGAAGAGGTCGGGCACAGAACTCTGCTTTGTACATCTGCTTTTCTCTACTTCTTTGTTTTGAAATGCTTTTTGCTTCATTCCTTTTCGATGGAGTGACTGTGAACTTATATTTATTGACAACATGTGTGCATCCAATGGACGTAGGCGACGATAAAGGAGATTGAAGCCAAGTTGAGCAAGCTAAAGGCCGTGCGAGATGCTAATGATCCGAAGGTCCGCGGTCAACCTCTGCCATCGTACTTCAAGGTCCCTTTCACAGAGGCATTGGACCTGGTTGGCACTCGACGAGTGTACATCGAGGCTGGCACGGCGTACGTGCCCTTCGAACACGTCGTGTCGATTCTGTTCGCTGCTTTCCGTGCCAACGTACGTCACGCGTTGCTGACGATTCTGCGTGGCAGTTGTTGTGACACTCTGACGTATGTATACTCGTGCTGCGTTAGCTTTCGAAAGAGTTGTCGGGCGCTTTTCGCAAGTACAATCGGTCGCTGATAAGCAAGGACGACCGCCTCGCGCCAGTGTTGACGAACTTGGCCAAGCACCACATTGACGCAGACTACTCGTCGACGCCTGTTTTTGGCTCGGAGAATGCAATTCGACCCGACATGATTGACTCACTTGCATCTACATCGATGCCCCTGTGCATGCGGTCCCTTCACAAAGGTCTGAAGCTGAACCACCATTTGAAGTTTGCAGGGCGGCAACAGTATGGGCTGTTTCTGAAAGGTATCGGACTTCAGCTCGATGACGCCATTGCTTACTGGAAGCAGGAGTTCTGCAAGAAGATGTCGGTGGATGACTTCAACAAGAAGTACGCATACAACATACGTCACAACTACGGCAAGGAAGGCAAACGCAAGGACTACGCACCTCCTAACTGCATGCGCATCATCACTGGCGATCCGCCAAAAAACGGCGACAATCACGGCTGTCCGTTCCGTCATTTTGAGCAAGAGCACCTCCGCAAGGCGTTGCAAGGAGTGCCGGAAGGAGACAAGACCGAGATCCTGTCGCTGGCTGAAAATCATCACTACCAGATCGCCTGCAAGAAGTACTTTGAAGCTACGCATCCCGGCAGTGACCCTGACGTCCTCATCAACCATCCGAACGGGTACTTCGAGGAAAGCCGCAAGCATTACGCGGCCAAAGAGAAGGGAGCCACAGCCGTAGCTCACTAGAGCTTACTTTTGCTAGAGACGACTTGATGTGATTGCGCTTGCAAGGCGTAGCTATAATGGATACGATGATCCCAAGTGCCCAATCTGTCACCGTCTTGTTTATTGCTTGTTGATAGATATGGCCCCACGCACGATGTGGTGCGCACGAGTTGCAGCATCCAATTATTGTTTGGAACGTCGTCCATTAGTTCCGTCCATGGAAACATGCGTAGAACTGCTTGTGTCAATACTAATAACACGAGCAAAAGCCTGTATCTCTATCGATAGACTATCTGATAGGTATACCCACGAGCAGCTTTTCGACTCGTTCGGGGTCTGGGCTCCGGACGCTGTTGTCTCTTTTGACAGTGCTGCCTTTTATCACTCCTTTAGTGATATTCCACGTTGCAGTCGGAGACGTGAAAAAAATAATACTAAACTGTACGCAGATATACACGTGCGCGGAAGTCTGTGTAGAACATGTGCAATTCCAGCCACTTCACGTTGCATTACGTCATCAAAGTTGGTCGACTTTCGGCTAAGGGATCCGATCGAAGACGTTTGGATTACTAACGTCCACGAGCTATTGCAACGTGATACGTGACTTATGAAAAGTGTTCAGCAGCTACTCGGCCACCCGTGTATCTGGTAACGCAGTAAGTTACTCGACGTAATTACCCTCCGCAGGCAAAGCTCATCATCACATTGCGATGCTCATGAGTGTACATTTGTTGCGCGGCAGCAAAACTGCTTGCAAGGGCCGAGTGATGATAAATAGATAAACAAACAAGTCACATCACTATTCCGTTGCCCAGCAATTTTGTACGAGTTTGACGGCTTTTATCAATACAATATCTCGGTACCTGGGACCAACACTGCTTTTGCGACCTCTTTTGGTCCAAATCTGTACTCTACAAAACCTCTCAGATCCACTCGTTCATCCTTCGCTTTCGTCCTCGAGCACACTTTGTCATCACCACTTTGCGACTGAATGCTGAGCCACGCAAACCGTGCTCTTGTATCGTCGTTTTCTCACGTCTCCTTTTTCTTCTCTCTCTCTCTCTCTCTACAACCCGCAGTCGCAACGTCACTAAAGTGCGAAACCAGCCTCGCAAACTCCTACAATCAACGGATCCCCTAATTCGTATCCCAAATACCAATTATCATGCCCTACTCGCCTGGTCCAACAACCCAAGAGACCGACCTCACAGACGGCTCGTCCGACACATGCGATCCGTCAATCGCTTCGACTTGTCACGGTACCCCATCTACTCACACCGACGGCATCAATGACCACAGTATCATTAACAATCATAGCGGGTGGCGACAACCAGTCGGTCGGTTTGTGGCTCGCACGCAACAGACGATCGACTCGCACTTGGCACTGTTTCGCACGGGTCTCTTTGTCGCGATCGCCACTTCGGTCGCGGTATCGCTCCACCTCAGCGGTCTCTTCAGTAGGTTCAAACGGGTGGAAGACATTCCATTGTGGCACTTTGCGCGGCGGAAAAAGCTCCGCGTGCGAATGATTGCGCAGTCCCAAAGTGATCCCAATGTCTTGTACGTGTGCCACGTACCGTTCGTGCGGTGCACGATGCTACGAGATGCGGCAGGTGATCCCTCCAGTGTACTGCAGATGGCAATCGCCAAAAAGCAGCAGACGAAGCAGCAAAGAAGTGACTTGATTGCGGTTCGACCATTTGGCGTGCGCGTTGACAAACGCTCAAACGAGTGGATCGACGCGACTCTCGTGGCGTCGCATCGGTACCTGACGATCCAATTGTTACAACGGTGAGGTGTTGTTGTCGAGTTTCGTTTTGTGGTCTATACAGTGCGATGCTGTGATTCCTAGAGCTGTTTTGTGACGACTGTGGAGTGATCTCATGTAGAAGAAGCCACGTGGAAAGCAGCGAGTACGGGAGCGTTGCGGTCTGTAACATTGCACAAAGACGGGTTCGTTCGACGGTCGAGTTCGTTGTGTTTGGCAGAACTGGGCTCACGAAGGTCCTGGTATGTCGTGACTCGACAAACACATGTAGTTCCCACTGAGACAAGACGTGGCTCAAGAGCTCGTGGCTCGTGGGTACGCAGAGTGCATTCCCGAGCATCTCGAGCACTACGACAACGGATCGTACGTGAAGCAGAGTGACGACGAGTCGAATTGGTTTGTCGGCAATGGACTACACTACTGATCCGCTCACGAGTGTTTATGTGGTGCAAAGCAGTGGAAATGTGGCCGACCTGACCAAGCGCCTGCGGAACCTCAAGGCGGCTCAGAAACGTGCTCAAGTCATGCAGTACGGCATTTGGACCGACTGGCGACAAGACAAACTCACAGACCGCGTCGTGTCCACTGCGAAACGAACAGCGCTCAAAGGGCTCCAAAAGGTCGTCGACCGCATTCGATATTGAAAAAGAGAAAACACACGCAGCAACTTCAGCTATACCAGTACCAGTCGTGTCGCCAGTTGCCGTCGTGTCGCCAGTTGCCGTCGTGTCGCCAGTAGCAGCTGGAGCTGAAGCAGAGAACAGGAAGCAATCAGCGATCGTCTGCAGTGCTACTGTCGCCTTGTGCCGCGTTCTCAGCCGTAGCACCGAATCCGCGTGTTGCAGCCCTTATCGGCGCACTGACCGCCTTTCTCGAGGTACTTTTGGTGGTACGACTCGGCGGGCCAAAAGCGCGCGGCAGGCGCAATCTCCGTCACAATGGGCTTCGCCAGCGTCTTCTGCTGGGCTTCTTTCGACGCCAGCGCCGCCTGTCGTTGGTCGTCCGAGTGGTAGTAAATGCCCGAGCGGTAGTGAGTGCCCCAGTCGTTTTTCTGGCGATTGAGCGTCGTGGGGTCGTGGATCGACCAGAACGTCGTCAAAAGAGTGTCGTAGGACAACTGGCGCTCGTCGTAGACGATCCGCACTGCTTCCGCGTGTTGTGTCGCGTCCGAACACACCTGCGCGTACGTGGGGTTGGGGACGTTCCCCTGCGCGTAGCCCACCGATGTCTCGAGGACCCCCGGCACGCGATCGAACGCCAGCTGGACGCCCCAGAAACAGCCGGCAGCAAACGTGGCCACGTGGTGTGCAGGAAGAGCCGCGTCAGAGGTCGTGTCCGTCATGACCGATGCGCGTGTTAGGAGCTGAAAGGAGACGCGATGACGACGAGACGTTGTGAGGGACGAACGGGTGAGGCAGCAACGGCGGAACATGGAATGGAGAAGCGATTTGCTGTGGGGTTGCGGAGATTGCGAGTAGAGGGCCAACAGGTGGAAAGATTCGAGCGCTGAGGACGTTTCCTGTGTTCTTTGGTGGATGTTGTGGAGGAGTTGTGTGGGACGAGACGGTGCCGAGTCGCACGGGAACTGAACAGAGAGGCTGTTGGCATAGTGGGTATACGTACACACGTCAGCAGTTGCGTTGTTGTGGCGCGTTCATCAGCAAGAAGCGACGGGGTGTAACGGCGCGTAAGTCGAAACGTGTCGAAACGTGGCAGCCACGAACCATTTATAGAGGCGTTGTGGCGGAGATGTCGCTGATGTGGTGATGCGACTTTTGTTGGAGTCCGAGTGTTTCAGCAACAGGTCGCTCGACCATGTTTTGTATTCAACAAAGAGGCCGAGTGTTGGCATTTGGCGAGCCTCATGTCGTCCACGAAGCGTAACACAGCGCTTCGTACGAGTAGAGGTTGCCAACCTGCTGCATGACTACAACTGTTGCAAAAGCGTAAACTACACGGAATTGAAGTAGGGGCCGGTTCGCACACGCACCTTACTAGTTACCGTGCTCTACGAGTCAGACCTGTCCAGGAGCCTGGCGGCAAAGCAATCTTCGGCCGTATGTATCGATGAGCAATCTTGTCGTTAAATCCCTGCCGTCTTCTGGCGTCACTGACTTGTTGGTGTGGTGATGCTCCTTTTGGTTGCTGCGGTTGACATCGGGTCAGGTTCGACATGCATAAGCCACACTCTCGGAATCTCGCGTACGTGTTCTGATGAAGCATAGGTATCCTGGATACTTACTTCAGTGCGTCTGACACGCACGTCTCGAGAAACGTTCACAGAAAGAGAATGAAAAGTAGCGACCTCACATCCGTCGCGGTACATCACCAAGCGGCAAACGAAGACGTGGCAACAACACTTTTCCTCGGTGTACTTGACGTTGTCGGAAGCTGCACAGGTTGCAGTTTCTATCATCCTTTGTGACTTGCTGCTGCCTTACTGCTTTACACGCTCAGATAAACATGACGGAGATCCCTGATGTACCAGTAAAGCACTAGCGTCTCCAAGACGCGCTTGCTTTTCAAATGAGATGGAGTGACCAGAAAGTGTACTCTACGGTCCTTGCGATGTTTCGATAGTACGTGTCAGCCGAAGAAAAGCTGTGGACGCTGCACAGTATCATCGGCCATGGAAGAACGATCTCGATTTGCGATTCCTCTGAAGACTACGACAACTCAGTGACTTCTTCGAAAGTTGTAAGCAAAGCTTCGTATAGTGTCGAAGGGAAGCAAAGCATCGACTGATAGGACCAGGCGCTATGCAACGTTGCCGGCCCAAAGATCTTGTGCATACTTCTCTTAGCTGAGCTCGCAGCATTGCGATCAGGAGCGTCCGGTGCATCGAGAGCCACTCGCTCACGCACCCACTCACTGATTCGGAGCACGTGGGTGGGTCGAACGCATATCCACGTGTGCATCTTAATATACTGCGTTCACTCGTTTATCCTGTCCTGACTTATTTGCACACCTGAATCCGAACAGGTTGCACGGCATGCTCTGGTGAGTTTGTGACTGCCTCCCCCTTTGCCCTCATCGATCGGCTGGCTTCGAAGTATACGAGGATGCGGAAATGGGAAGCTAATGAACCTTCCCCGCTCTCATTGTAGCTAAAACGGCAAGTGACAGCGATCCACATGCGTGATAGTAAGACGCTTGATAGAAGCGCAAGAACACAATAGCTTACAGCACGTACATGATAAGCTGAACGTCCGCGCCATGGAGGTTCATCTTGTTCACGAAACTGTTCACCTCGGCTTTTATCCATGGTCGCGTTCGAGCCTCGTACTGGTACGGCGTCACATGCACGAACAACCTCAGCTGCCTATGTCACCACCAAAGACGCAGTCAGTTCCTACCTGCACTCACACAAGCAGACAGCATCACGTGTAGCACTGAACGGGCGTACTCGTATTGCGCGAGCACAGAAAGGCATCCGTCGCCCGTCGGCATTGCACCTTGAAGCGATCCGTTGCCGGGGTCCAGCCAATGGATCGAGTTGATCTGTCCGCCACATGTAGCGACACCGCGTGAGCAGCATACATTGCAACGAAAAGAGAAGTCGTGGCGAGCACATACATTGGAGAAGAATTGTCGCGTGCTCGCGAAGGCAGATCCCTGTTGAAGCTGGCCACTGAACGATCGCTTCTTATTGAGCGAGCATCGCACGAGTTCTGTCACGAGTTGGTTCAGAACAATACCGCCCTTGCTGAAGCCCAGCAGGTGCATCGGGACGGCGGTCGACACGTTCACTGTGCAATTCGCAGCAGAGATTTGAGTTTCCGGGTACAATCGAAATCACAAACAGGATCCATCAGCAGTCGACAAACCTCCTTGTCGTCTCAACGCCGCCTGAGTGTTATGCATCAGTGATGCCAAGTGTTTGGTAGCACACGCCGTTGGTTCGTCTGTAGCACAAACGACCGCCAGTCACAGTCTCAATGACGCGCTCATGACAGGCACCACATTGCGACATCTGACAAATGGACGACACACTGAGCCCTTACACCGTAGAGCTGCGCCATACTCGTTCGAGGTCACAAAGTTGTCAAAGCTGCTGTATGCGCCATGTTTGAAGCGACTGGGCCTCACCACCCACACATTGCTCGCAGGGCCAAACTTTGTACTCAGCAAATCTGCCACAGCTTCGTACGCGTAGTCACAATAGTCTGCAAAAGGGCCGGACAGCCTATCCGAGAAACAGAATACACAACAAGTGTAAGCCATTGACAGCAAAAATCTCTCGATCTCTCGCTCCCTTTGCCACTCATTTGCTGCGTACATGGCAGCTTTGTAGTCTTGGACATCCCCGGGGAAGAAAATGACGTTACATTGACCAGAAATGTCCGTGGGCACCGACACGTACACTTCGTTTTCTCTGCCACAGTCATCAAATAGTATTTACATACAATGTGACGTCACACATCAAGCGAAAAAAACGCTTTCAAACGTTTTTTTGCAGCGTTTTTTACCGGTCCAGCCATCCGCGACTGCGCAGACGAACGCACGAGCGCTCTGCGGCAATGTTTGCGCTGTGGAGTGACATTGGAGGCGGACATTCGCCTCGAGGATCCTCACTTCGGCTTCCTATGCCCAGCATCGATGTCACGGCGTTCCACATGGACCTGGAATCAAAGAGTGAGTTGGCTGGGTGAGCGTCTGAGTACGAGGATCTCGTGACAATGCATACCCTTGCATAATTGATTCGATCAGTTAGTCGCTAGCTGTCTATTTGACCTGTTAAACCACATCGTCTCGAACGGTACATTCTTCAGCCACCAGACACTCTCCAACGGATACCTCAACTTGGCTGCCTCGGGACTCGCTGACCGTCGGCAGAAGCAAAAAAAGAAGCACATGGACAAGAAAAGCGGCTGCAAATGAAAAGAGCGTTAGAGTGTGTATGTACTGTCTGTTACCGCTGGAGCGCAGTGATCGAAACGAACGTGTGCGCGTCACGGACAAAGCGGCCCTTCACGCGCTGACGCTTCGCCGCACTAGCGCGTCGGGCGTGGGACACCAACGGGTCCACCACCTGCGTGGCGACAAGCGGCCGCTTGCACTTCGACCGACCGACACGCTCTTTGCCGACCAACAAACTCGACATGACGCCAGGCGGACCGACGAGCAGATCGGTGCTGTCAGGTCCGACTACAGGACGATGTCGTCGGGACTGGTAGCCGCCCTCGATCTGCACCCTGAAAGCCGGCACAAAGACCCGCGCGTCCACGTTCGAAGCAGCACTTGCCGCCGCGTGCGTCGTCGTCGTCGCCGGCGGTATCCTTTGTGCCAGCTCGAGCTCCGACAGCAACAACGGCATGTTGTCCACCTCCAGCGCATCGATCCAGTCGCACGTCGCTCGTCCATCAGCAACGTGCTCCCGATTTCCTGCACTTGACGTGTCCATCAACAGCCCCACGTCCACATCATGAGCTCCTGTACCTCCACACGCTGCAAGCGACTGCACGACGGCATCGTTCCACGAACCCGCGACAGGTCCTGACACTATCGCCGCCACTTCCTCCGCCTCGTGTTCATCCACAGCGTCCTCTAGCAACATGCTGACGATCTCCTCTGGCGTCATCGACCGAACGGCACTGCCCGTGTCGCAGCCGCTACGGCCCAAACAACCCGTCCGTCCACTCGCCTCCACGTCCACCGCGTCTCTATCCCCCCGTCTCCACAACGCAGCAGTCCACACCGCGTCGTGCCTCGTGCTCCCCGCGCAGTCCGCTCGCTCCGCCTGCAGAAAGCGCACTGCCTCCATCCTCCTCTCCATCTTTCTCTCTTCCTTCTTCTTCTTCTCGCAACTTGTGCTGCACGGCAACGGCCACAGCGCCCGATCGATGGGCATCCACACCCCCATCTCGAGCCGTTGTCGCTGTCGTCTCTCGAGCGCGCTCTACCAGCGACAAGAGCTCCTCACCGTCCTCTCTCCAGCTCCATAGCGGCAGCTGCGCTACGTCAAAGCGCTTGTCAACGTCCGACAATACAGCGACTGGATCGCTGAGCGTGTGCCGGCGACGGGGCGCGTCCGCGTCACAAGGACAGCGACGACGCGGATCGCGAGTGTCTGCATCATACGAACGCCCACAAACGGAAGAGAGTGGAGCGAGCGGACGGCGCAGAGTCGGCCTCGGTCAAGAGGCGACGCGAACAGGCAACAGGAGCGGCGAGTGCGCGGTGGAGCGGTCAGAGAACGAGCTGCGACGGCCACACGCGCGCGTGAGCGACTTCGAGTGACAGCTGGCGGCGGCTCGACGGGAAAAGGAAAAGTGAGCAGAGAGGAATGCGACAGACGAGATGCGAGGTCTGCGATTGGCTGAAAAGCACAACACTACTGCGTGCCCAGTATCTCACGTCTCGACAAATGAATGGATCCAAGACTGCGGCTGAAGTAAGGCGAAACACAGAAAGGCGGGACCGAGCACGATCAATGCATGCAGTAAACCTGCTCTTTTGACACGTTTAGCTGCTTTGTATCCTGTATCTCCTCCACGCCCGCGAAGCAGAAAAGACGATCCAACGGTCTTTTTCTGGTCGACGACAGAGAGAGAGAGAGAGAGAGAGGGAGGGGGAGATGGGTTGATCGATCGCGGCGAAAAGAAGAGTGATGGTCTGTTGCCGCGCCTTGACCCGCCAAGTGCAACGTTGAAGTCGCTTCATTGCACGGCCGCCAGCTTGCGATGGCGGATGCAGAGCCCGCCTTTGCGCGCGGCTTGGAAGCACTCGGGCGCCGCACAGCGCTTGCCGCCGCCGTGGCTGTAGCAGAACCCGCCCGCCTGCGCGCTCTTTGGGCACTGGGTAATCGACGCGCAGCGCTTGCCGCCGCCGTGCGCGATGCAGAAGCCGCCGCCGTGCGCGCATTTCCCACACGAGTCGACTTTGCACTGCTGGCGGCCGCCGTGCGCCATGCAAAAGCCCTTTCGCCGCGCAACGCTACTGCAGCCAAAGACTTTGCACTTACTGCCGCCGCCGTGGGCTTTGCACCGGCCGCCGCTCTGGGCGACGGTGTGACATCCGACAAAGTTGCACCGTTTGCCGCCGCCGTGACGGATACAAAAGCCGCCAGTCAGGGCGTACTTCACACAGCCCGCCATGCCGCATTGCCGGCGGTGATGGACTTTCTGCGTGCGATGGGGCGGGGAGACCGTGGATGACGACGGCGACGTGGCGGGTTCGGTCGCGAGCAAATCATGAAGCGACAGCGGCCGTCGCGTCTTGTTGAGTTGCCGGACGATGGTCGAGGAGCGCGGTGCGTTTTGATTGGTGGTATATCTGGGATGAAAAGGGGGAGGGGAAGGCAACGTCATGCTGGGACTCGTGGGCGAGTCTATTTTTAGACCTTTCAGTGGACTTGACAGGCGAAGGAAAGCGTCGTCACGTCGTGGCGTCGTGAGGTGGAATAGGTCCACCGCCCGGTGCAAAGGCGGCAGAATGGGGAAAGCACGAGGTGACGTCATCGTGTCGAGCGGCAGCAAGGAGCGCAGACTGGGCAGTCGCACTGCTTTGGTAGCATGTAGTGGTTGTCGTCCAGGGAGCGTGGGTAGTCGGGTAGCTGCTGAGAAATGGGCGAAGATCGTCGCGGTGAGCTGTAGGTTATGATATCTCGGGTGCTGGTACTGTGTGGGAATGCCCATGTTGGCTGAACAACTGGAGGAGGAATGGGAGAACGCCCAGTGAGGTGCGGTGGAGGTAGTGCCGGGGAAGCAAATGCAAAAGTGAGATTGCGGTCGGGCCGTGATGCGCTGTGGTCTACAGACGGGCAGCTCATGAGTGGGTGGCCTCGTTGCTCGGTAGTCAGAGGAGAAGGAGTCGGAAGAGGAGAAGTTGGTCGAACGAAAAGCTCCGTCGCTCATCGCGCGATTGTCCCTCCTGACAGCAGCAGCAGCAGCAGCAGCAGCGGCCGTCAGACTGCATGTCTGGATCTCTCCTGACGGAGCGGTTCGTATCAACGTCAGTGTGGATTTCAGTCGACACGACGCCTGACCTTCGAGTAGGCGGAGCACCATATAGTCGGTTAGCCATTGGCAACTCGAACGAATGGCGCTACAACGAACTAGTCAGCGAAACAGAAGAGGACATGCGGCTGCACGTTTGTTGCACAGGATCTATGGCGTGTCAGCGGCGCAATGGCGGAAAGCAGGACTCGCCGAAGCCATGGGGAGAAGCAGTGGCAATGGGGGCGTAGAAGGCGGCAACTACTGTCGATCAATCGATCGGTCGGTCGATCTATGCGTTGACCGTACGAACACTTTCTCGATTGCGCCTGTACAGTAGCTACCTACCTATCTGCCTGGCAATGCCCTCATCATTGTGCGCCTTAGCGGTTTCACCTGTTGAACCTGATAACGAAGAGCGTGCCGCACGTGGGTGACAGGACAACGTTCGTTCACGAGCCTGTCAAGTTGAATACGCGCCTGTCTGAGCCGCGTCCGACAGCTGCTGCGGAAGCGTTTCCACCTCTTCGCTCACCATGCACGACTCGCTCCTGTTGTTGACAGAACGTGCCCGCCATTCTTCACTTGCCCAAGCACTCACCAGGTTCAATGTGGACGACAGGTCGTGCAGAGACTCGACAACAGCCGTAAAGCCACCGAAAAGACAAACGAGCACACTTCCGGTCGAAGAGGAGCAAATCAGACATCAAGATCGTATCGAGTTGCCCCCACATACATATATATACATATAGGCACTACGTATGCGCAACATCACGTCTTTATTGTGGGCTTGCTCTACATCACTGCGGACAGTGTTGTGCATTGACATTGAGACGTTGGCGCATGACACGGGCGTGTCGACTTCCCTGGACCCGTTCCAGGAGTAGCTGCCGATGAATATCATTCGAGCCAACAAGTGGCTCTGCTGATCGAGATCTCAGTCGACTCGAAAGGTCGCGAGGCGGTGATGCTCAGCAGTGGATCTTTGGTGCGCGACACGTCGCTGGACCTTCAACTCAACAAAAGGCCCGAAACATGCGACTCGAGAACGTTTGTTCCCGACCTGTGTCGTTGTTCTCATGACTTGAGGTGACACAACACCTCTGATTTCCACTACACATTGTCCACACGTTGAAGCCAAATGTACGGGTCGTACTCTCGATCAGATCATATCTTCGAGTTGCATTGCCTGGCAGAACTCGGCGCAGAAACCTGAAGTGGCCCGTGTTACAGTGTGTTGCTACACAGTGCATCCATTCAGAGGGCAAAGGTACCGGTCGAGACACCGTATGGATTGACCATTGCGTGCTCGATCGCCTGACCAACGAGTCGTCCATCGAGGGGCATGGAGCTGGACGTCACTACCAACACGTAGCACGAACGGCCGCATGGATACAACTGGTGCCGCTTGGCAAGTGCTCTGACACCAATACGAACGCCGTGTGACTGACAAATGGACTGACTACCTGTCGATCGTGGTACTCGATGGTAGAGCGATACGGAGTGTATCTGTCGTTCGAATTCGACGTCTGTGCAAGTCGTGGAACTCGGCATCCACCGCACGTCATTTGGACCGAAGGTAAGCAGTCGTCACGTCGCTCTGGTGCGAGTGTCGTGACGCGTTTCTTGTGATACAGAGAGGCAGAGGGAAAGGCGAGTCAAAGTGTGTTCTTTCTTCCTACCTCGCACGTGTCTGCGCTGGCGACGCCTGACACAGTCGGAAGGTTTGGTCAACGACGCCAGAAGAAGACTCGGAAGGCGTGGGACGTACAGAGCAATCGCGAATGTCGATGTTGCGCGGTACGTAATCTTCGCACGCGTCTGAGGGCTCGCTCTCCCACTTGTGCTGCTCTGCAAAAAGGCGACCGTCAACAACGGGTCGAGGCCCACACTGTATGGTGTATAATGTATGGTAAGCCTGACAACAGCCAACTCTTGTGCACGATGCGACAAGAAGCGGCGCAGAGCCACGTCGTGCGTACTTTGCCCGCTTTCGTTCGCGACGGCTGTCCTACAAAACGTGTCATTGACGTACTTGCAATCCGAGACAGTGTGTGTGTGTGTGTGTGTGTGTGTGTGTGTGTGTGTGTGTTCGTAAGACGATGCCGACGCATATGACCGCTGTGGATCGAGCCATTTCGCAATCAAACACGATAGCAACTCGTGTGTCGCACGAGATGCGACCGTCGCAATGGCGCGTCACGCACGTGATATTGACCACAAGTGTGCTGAGCTCTTGCACATATTGCCCGTCGAGAGCTGTATCGACCGCTCGTCGTGGCTTTGTCACTACGTATTCGTCAACGACAGCGTGTGACGCGCGCGACCTTGTAACACAGGCATAGCCGTCAGCTTCGCACCTGTCCAACTTCGCATGACTCGTGTCTCTTGATAGTGAGTGCACACCGCCAGGAAGCGACTTGTAGGTAAGAAGCATCAAAAGCGTCCCATCAGTGATTGTCTGCGGCCATGTAAGAACGGCTCGGAAGGCTGCGCTCGAGTTCGTGTATGAGCAGAACTCTGCGTGGCTCGATCGTCTCGTCGGCACCAGAGATCAGCGACAGTAACGTCCTGAACGCCTGCCTCACTCTCAGCAGGTAACTACGACGCACGGACACGACACTTGCGTGGCGTTGCAATAAAGCTGTCACTGAAGAAGACTGCACTATGATCAAACGCTCGTTCGCATTCCGAGTCTGTTACTGTCGATGCAGAATGGCACAAAGGACGAACAGTAGCGCAACGTGCCAACACATCGGCTCGGCACTGCATCGCTGATGACCGCTGCAAGTAGTTGCCTCGCATTCCTCTCCCATGCCATTCTACACCAACGAAGGAATAACGTGATGCATTCCTATCATTCACGTTCACACTGTGCACTTCTTCCGTGTGCTTTGGGGTCCACACTTTGCTCGCCGCGACAGGTTCTTCACATTCGGAGCCTTCTACAATAGCAAACAAACTGCGCTCTACGTCAAGTCAGTGGTAGAGCAAGTGCTAAACATTGTGTATCGGCTACGAATGCACGACGTAGAGCCCAATATATACACAGCCTCGACACACATCATGGTCTGGTCTGGGAATCTGCAGCAGCAATGCCAAGAAGGACTTGCCAACGATCGATTCACAACGATACAGCCGCCATGGCTCACGTGGCGTCTATGATCACTTCGAGCACCAAAGATCGAGGGGCCGCAGCTAATCAACAGCACCTCTCCACCTCTCTTTACTCGTAGTCCGATAGAGGCGGACAGCTGCACACGAGATTACGGTCTCCATGCACATTGTCAATGCGACCCACTGGTGGCCAGTACGACTTGTTCTTGCCGCCCATGTGCCACGGCGCAGGAAACGCGCCCTGTTCTCGAGAGTACTTGCGGTCCCACACGCTCGCTGTGACCTGGTCCACCGTATGCGGCGCGTGTTTCAGCGGCGAGTCTTCCACGGCAATCACACCGGTCGCAACGTCCTCAATCTCGCGCCGAATGATGGCCAGGGCGTCGCAAAAGCGATCCATCTCCGCTTTGCTCTCGCTCTCGGTCGGCTCAATCATCAGTGTACCAGCCACAGGCCACGACATGGTCGGACTGTGAAAGCCAAAGTCTTGCAACCGCTTGGCCACGTCCTCCTCGACAATGCCACAGGCCTTGAACGGACGAATGTCGATGATGAACTCGTGCGCACAGGTCCCATTAGCACCGCGGAACGCCACTTCGTAGTGGCTCTCGAGCTTCGTCGCCATGTAATTGGCATTCAGGATGGCCGTGTACGTCGCCTGCTTGAGCCCCTGTTCGCCAAGCATGTTGATGTACATCCACGAGATCGGCAGGATACCTGCGCTGCCAAAGGGCGAACCGCTCACGGCCGACGTCGTCTTCTTCACCGTGAACTCGCCTTCTCCACCGGTTGGCACTACCGAATGCCCTGGCAAGAACGGAGCCAAGTGAGCAGCCACGCCAATGGAGCCCACGCCCGGACCACCGCCGCCGTGTGGGATGCAAAACGTCTTGTGCAGGTTCAAGTGGCACACGTCGGCGCCAATGCCGCCTGGATGACAGACAGCGACTTGGGCGTTCATGTTGGCTCCATCCATGTACACTTGCGCTCCGTGCGAGTGGATGAGGTCCGTCATGTCCTTGATACCAGCTTCAAACACACCAAACGTCGAGGGGTACGTAATCATGAACGCACTCAGGTTGTCCGAGTGCTCAGCCGCCTTGGCCGCAAGATCGGCCCGGTCAATGTTGCCGCGATCGTCCGACTTGACCACGACGACCTTCATGCCCGCCATGACAGCACTGGCAGGGTTCGTGCCGTGGGCCGACACGGGGATCAGGCACACGTTGCGGTGGCCCTGGCCAATGGACCGCTGGTAGTTGCGGATGGTCAGCAGCCCGGCGTATTCGCCTTGGGCGCCACTCTGCGGCTGCGTCGACACGGCGCTAAAGCCCGTGATGACTGCAAGCGAGTGGTTCAGCGAGTCAATGAGCTCCCGGTACCCAGCACTCTGCTCTTCCGGCACGAACGGGTGCACGTTCATAAACTCGGGCCACGACACCGGCGCGAGCTCCGACACCGCATTGAGCTTCATCGTGCAGCTGCCCAGCGAGATCATGGAGCGGTTCAGGGCCAAGTCCTTGTCCTCCAGTCGTTTCAAGTACCGCGTGAGCTCCGTCTCGGAGCGGTACTTGTGGAAGATCCCGTGGGTCAGGTACGCCGTCGTCCGCCGCAGTGCTTCAGGAATGCTCTTCGCCTGAATCTCCCGAGCCCGCGCACTCAGGACGTCGCTCAGGTCCACTTGCACGTCGGCTTCAGCAGCTCCAAACGCCAGCAACAGCTTCCGCAGATCGTTCAGCTCCACGCTCTCCCCCATCGACACGCCCACGCGCGTGTCGTCAATCACACGCACGTTCACCCCGCGTTTCGTCGCCTCCTGCGCGACCTCAGCTGCTGACGCGTTGGACCGCGACACGTCGACTTCCAGCGTGTCAAAGAACGCGTCGTGCACGACGCGACACCTCGGGGCAAACTGCTCCAGACCAGCAGCCAGTGTCGCCGCGTACAGGTTCGCACGCGCTGCAATGGCACACAGCCCTTCGGGCCCGTGGTAGATCGCATAGGCCGCGGCCATGTTCGCCAGCAGCGCTTGGGCCGTGCAAATGTTGCTCGTCGCCTTGTCCCGCCGAATGTGCTGCTCGCGCGTCTGCATGGCCATCCGCACCGCCGGTTCGCCGCGCGCGTCCACCGACACGCCAATGATGCGGCCGGGCATCTTGCGGTAGTACTGCTTGGTCGTGGCCAGAAACGCCGCGTGCGGGCCGCCAAACATCAGGGGCACGCCAAAGCGCTGGGCCGAGCCCAGGGCAATGTCGGCGCCCCACTCGCCCGGGGGCGTGAGCTGCGTGAGGCTCAACAAGTCGGTCGCGACCGCGACCACGAGCTTCGCCTCGTGCGCCTCCGTGACGAACGTCCGGTAGTCGCGCACGGCCCCAAACGTCGTGGGGTACTGCACCAACACGCCGCTGAAGGCGCCGTCCTGCAGGTCCAAGTCCCGCGCCACGTCGCCGACCACGAGCTCGATGTCCACGTGCTGCGCGCGCGTGCGCATCATCCCAATGGTCTGCGGGTGCACGTCGCGGTCGACAAAGAACTTGCGGCGCTTGCCCTGGAACGTGCCGTGGATCAGCGCCATCGCTTCGGCCGCCGCCGTCGCCTCGTCCAGCAGCGACGCGTTCGCGTACGCGAGTCCCGTGAGGTCGGCGATCATGGTCTGGAAGTTCAGCAGCAGCTCGAGACGGCCCTGCGCGACTTCGGCCTGGTACGGCGTGTACGACGTGTACCAGCCGGGGCTCTCGAGCAAGTGGCGCACAATGGGCGGCGGCGTCAGTGTGTCGCTAAAGCCCATGCCGATAAACGACTTGAGCGTCTGATTCTTCGACGCGATCGCTCGGATCGCAGCCAGCGCTTCGCTCTCGCTGAGCGGCGGCGGCAGCTCGAGCGACGTCGACAGGCGGATCTCTTCTGGCACTGTCGCGGCCACGAGCGCGTCGACAGAGTCGTACCCGATGGTCGCCAACATGGCCTGGCGGTCGCTGTCGGACGAGACGCCCAAGTGCCGATGGAGGAACGCGTCGGTGGGCGCGTAGTCCGAGCGCGCACGGCGGCCAATCGCAACGGACGGAGCGCTGCGACGCGCGACGGTTTGCGACACGCGGCGGAGCGAACGTGCGCGGGGGAACATGAGTCGGCGGCGGCTTCGTCGGCGGGCGCGGGTCGAGTGGACGACAGAGAGGGCGCACGAGAGCGACGTGTCAAGTCGGACGCGAAATCGCAAGTGAAGAGCTCCGATAGCGACGGCGATGGTGGATGGATACATTATCAAGTGTGGGAGGTCATCGGGTGCGCGCCAGTCAAGGTTAAACTTGCGTGACGCGCAGTGCTCGATAGGCGGCATCCAATCATACACCGCAGTTCAACGCGCGTGCTCACTGGTGGAAACCACGAGAGCCGGTGGGTAAAACTGAGTAAAACCGCGGCAGACGGTGGTAAAACAGCAGTCAGTCGCTAGGGGGAGACTAGACGACGGGCTTCGTTGCGTTTCTAAGAGGCCGCCGAGACTCGGCCATGTATCTGGACGGATGCAGAAGGATTTCTAACGCGGGGGCTGGCCCGGCTCTCGTCGCCGTCGTCGTCGTTCAAGTGGAGTTTGTTGCAGTCAACTGCTGCAAGTGCTCATTTCGTGTCAGCAGATGGAGCCGAACGCAGCTGCTTCGACCGGTGATCGAGTAGTGTACTCTATGTATCCTCTCTAGTGATGCCACATATTCACAAGACGAATACCTGGCGGATGGATATACAGACAGATCTGTCTGATCAAATAAACCAAATGTGTCCACAAAGCAGCAAAGTTACATACGTAGTGGTGACATTGTACGAGTGCGCCAACAGTGGACACGAGGCTCACGGGCTCACACTGCAAAGCTCACCTATTCACATCAGACGGCAGGATCGTCGCTGGTTTCGTGCTTGTGCACTACTATGCTCACCGTCGGGATAGTCTCCATGCTGAAAGAGTCATTACGGAACGACCAACAGATCGCACATACCAAACATAAGCCCATGCATCGCTGTTTGCTGACCTGTGCGCACGGTCCGCCATAGGCGCCAAAGATCGGCTAACTAAAACCTACATAGGCGCTGAAATCGGCTAATTGGTATTGTCGACGATAGGATCCAATCAGCCGATCCTTGACGCTGATGTCTTTGTAGTAGCTACTCGACCGGATCCCATTGAATCTCAGTAGCTGAGCCAAATGACGCGAACGGCTACAAACATGACGAGCGCAAACAGAAACACAAACAAGTCGTCCAGCGATTTGCGGCCTTTCACCAGAAACTCTGATCATCATCGAACAACACAAAAACTCTCAGCACTCGCGATGCTCAGCAACCACGCAGATAGCTTTTCCACCAAACTGCGCGCACCTTTTAGGACCGGGCGATTCGACAATGCCATATTCACCAAAAAGCCCAGATCACTCTCTTCCGGGTGCTTGACATCCGGCAGACCCAGCGATTTGTGCACGGCTTTTGCTCCCGTAGACACCAGCAGTCTCACAAGAAACACGGCCAATACCACAGGCGGGTGGGCCATCATCGACGTCCAAAAGCCTCCCAGACTCGCCACATCCGGCAGCCATCCGGTTCTGCCGGTCGTGGCCAACGCGTCCATCTCAGCCTGCTGCTCCTGCTTTTGTAAATGTGCCAGCGCTGCTTGTTTCTCGCCAGAGAGCCCATGCCCCCGTTCAAGTTGATGCCGAATCGATTCCACCGGAACGCCACTTGCAAGCAGATCGTCGTAGCTCACATCGACCAGGTCGTTGGTTGTAGCCATGTTGGCCATAATGGAGCGCACGTCCATGTTGACCGCCGCGTAGAGCGCTGTTGCAATAATCAGCAAAAGTACCAGTTTTTCCTCCAATAAAAACAGCGTAAGCGCCCGTCCGTGCAAACTGGCGCTCTTCACCGAACGCTCGGCAGACGAGACAGTCTCCGCCAGCTGGTTTTGACGAACAACAGACCGAATGGCTTCAGAATCGCGTGGCTCGCTCGCGTCCACTCCCCCGCGCGTCTCCTCGTGGCTCTTCGCCTGCTGCTGACGACGTCGCGCCGCCGCGTCTCGTCGTCTCTGCACTTGATCCACACGTACAAATGGCGTTGGAACAGCCACCGGCGCCTCAGGAGACACGACGTGCAAGTCCGAAGGCGCGTCGACCGCTTCATCGACGTCGGTACTGTGGGCTTTGGGTCCAGAAGACGCCACACTGGACGCGTCACTGGACGCTGCGAGTGCAGTAATTTGACCCGTTACCAACTGGAGACGACTGGCGCTTCCTTGCAGCACGCGGGCGCGACGGGCCGCGCGCTTTTCTGCAGCCGACAGCAGCTGCGCTTGAGCCATTCGTGTCGGTGGGGTTCAGTTTGATCGACTTTGGAATTCGTGTGTGTTTGTATGTGTGGATCGTTTTTCGCAGTGTGATGAGCTAAATTTGGGAATTTAGAAGTAGGATCGGCTTGTGTAATGTCTTGCTGGTGGTTTTTTGAAAACGGGATAGAATCGATCGTTTCCTTATCCTGCAAGCGACGACATGAGCATTTCATCGTCTAGTTGAGGCGTCGACTACTTTGTTGTCGAACAGCTGTGCAGCGCGTGAGCGAATACGTTTTCACAGGGTGAGGCGATTTCTCGATGCCATTCGCGTCACCAGAGGACGACGTTCAAACAGGAGAAAAGCAAGAGGCGAATCGACTATAGGTGTAAAGAAAGCACTTTGACGGAGCGGTAACGATCCAGCACTTGTACACGATCAACATTGGATCTGCTCTTCTACTCTTTCTTTCGTTTGATGTGTGCCGATTCCGGTGGACTTGTTCGCGATCACACTGTGAACACACCATCTGTCACTCTTTGCTTAGGAGCTTGTAAAATGTTATGTGGCACTTTTTGTATCCTCCATCCGTGCCACGGGCATTGACGACTTCATTCATGTCATCCTTCGAAACGTGCTTTTCTGAGCAAGGTGAACAGGAGATTGAGGCGACATATCTTAAAATGTTGCAGCGCATAGACTTGAGCAATCTCTTGCATACTTATGCCGTTTGTAAAGCGAGAGTCGGAATCGTGCGGAAATGGTGCGATACCGCATGGGACATATTCGATGCAGAACTGACCGCAATAAATGAGCAATTCTTCGTAGTGGTCTATCGGGTACGAAAGATCAAAAGGTGAAAGTGTGCTTTACCCTTCGTTTACAGTCAATGCACACAAGTGACCGCTACTTCACCTTGTCCGCCCTCCCCCAGTTCCCACTCGTCTGTCTGTCCATCCCACGCGTAGACTCATCGAACGCCATTGTCCAGCGCTTTGAACACACGTTTCAGCCCAACGAATCAGGATAGTGTCTGAACCAATCACAACAGCGACTTTCCCACCTCGCGGCTTCATTGACGTATCTGCTTAAATACCGACTCGAATACCGATAACCCACCACCACCGCCGCCCGCAAAACTGACGCTTCGCCACTGGCAATGGACGCGTCCGCTTCTTCGCATGCCGACGAAATGCTCGCGCTGACGCTGGGCGACGTCTACGAGTCGGAGCAGCGTCCACATTCCAAGGAGCGCACGTCAGTCACGTCGACAGCGTTCGAGTCCTTCGCTTCGCACGACCACACGGAGCACACGGGCGCTCTGTCGATGCCACTGACACTGGCCGCGTCGCCTACGATCCTACCGCTGCCGTCGTCGCTTTCGTTGACCGCTGCAAATACCGTCTCGGACAGCCGTACCCCTCTGTTACGCTACATGGTGCTCGACCGGCAGGGCGTGACCGTGAGCGAGCAGTACTTCCAGACCGATACCGGTGTTGCCGGCGAGTTTACCGCCGAGATGCAGAAAGCGACGGACGAATACCGGTGTTTGACCGACGCCATCAACTTGACGGAACCGAGTGATACCGGTCCACTTACCAGTCGCTACGTCGCCGCTGCCCACGTCGACGTGGTGTCAACCATTGAAGCAGCTTCGACAGGGATCTGTCCAACCCGTAAGCGGAAACAAGGGGCGAATGTCAGCATTGACCTACAGACGAAGATCCGCATCATTGAAGTGGCCGAGCAGTACCAATACGACCCCAAGAGCTCAGGGCGCAGCAAACACCAGCACGAAAGTGGTACCGTCGCGGGTCTCAATACCGGTAAAGACTGCGTGAACGGCATTCGATTGGCCGAGCAGTTTGGGCTGAACAAGAGCACTGTGAGTCGCATATTGAAGCGCAAAGAGGAGTTCAAAAAGGCCTATTACAAGGACAAAATCTCGGGCTGTTCCAAGCACATTAACAAAAAGTCGAAATTTGATAAGCTCAATCGCCTGGTGGAGAACTGGTTTGACGTACACCGAGCCAAAAACGCGCCGATTTCGGACACTTTGATCCGCGACGTGGGTAAGCGTTTTGCGAAAGAGTTGGGGATCAAAGACTTTCGTGGGTCGAATGGATGGGTACGCAGTCTGCGGAACCGCAAGGAACACGTCGCACGCAGTAGTGGAAAGATTGGCGAAGAGGAAGCGGAGCAACGGAAAAAAGACTGCGAAGCGATTGAGCGCATGCGCACGATTTTTCCGAATGGTGTGAAGGACATGGCTGGCTTTTTCAAGGACTTTTCGACCTACTTGGAGAAAGATGGCGCTGGTATGGGCGGCTTTTGTGCCAGCGGTGCTGCTGCACGTAGCAGCACTGACTGCAGTGCAAGAGACTCTGCAGCAGCGCTGACTGGCGCGTCGTATTCAGTAATGGACGATGCCAATCCACGCGACGACGATGGATCGGTTGCGGAAGAGTTTCTGAAAAAGAGAATGATCGAGTCGCTTCGCATATGGTCGCAAGAGCTGATGACGTCTGAGCTGGCCAAGCTCAAAAAGCGCATGAATCCGCGGCACGCGACGATCTTGTAGCGCCTGGATCGTGATGTTCCTGAGTGGTGCAATTCGAAGGTCCGGCGTGGTGCTCGTCTGCTACCACTTGACGCTCGTGCACTGCTGCTCCTTCCTTATTTATTGGCATCAAGAGCTCTCGAGTCGATGTCGTTCAGCGGTCTTCCATCGACCGTTGCGCCTTACAATGTCACGATGTTGTTTCCGATTTGTCGTTCGCACGCTGCCGACACAGCAAGATACAGGAAAGAGACTGTCACAATACTGGCATAAGTCATGCTGATGTGAAGGACCGGGATTGCAATCGGGATGGCGATGCCGAGATACGCTGCTTGTGTAATGGTGGCCTCATCACGCTCATCGTTGTATGTCTGAGGATGATGACAATTAGTGCTGCATCTTGCAGGGTCAGGGCTCGCCACGCCTCGCATTTGGTCACCTTAGCATTGACAAAAAATGACCAGTGCTCTGCTGCAACATCATACAGCCAGCCGGTAAGTGAGCTGAAGCAAAGCTGTTGCAATAGTGGTCAGCGACCCACTCATGTGATTGATGAAATGCCGATCGCTGTGGCCTCATGACAGGTCGTTCATGCGAAGACCCGATGATTTATCTGGGCAGTTCGACGCCTCACACGTGGCAAGTGTGCTGGGAACTCAAGAGAGGCCTTGCCAGATTCGGTGGGGCAAAATGTTGCATTCGTCCTGCGGTCGAGTGCCACCGATGCAGTATGGCCCTCTGCGTGTATCAATTATCAGCATTTCGGCCGTTGTGCTTGTGAAGCTGTACTGCATCTTTCCAATGACGTGCATATGAAGAGTTGTGGAAAGTTTTTCAACTAGCATGGCGGTAACACCTAGACCGGCACTGAGGAGACTTGGAAAGTTGGTCGTGGGGTCGGTCAACGTGTAAGCAAAATTGTGTCAGTACGGACTGCCGGCGGTAGCCGCATGAGGTTGCTCAGGAGCCTGCGAGCGAATCGGGTTGGTCAGAGTTGGTGTATGCTATCACGCTTGACCTTGCTTTACGTCTGGATCTATAACCACGAGACGTTGGTGAGTGCCATCGCGCTAAGTTACGCATGTACTTGTTCCAATCGCTGAACACTACGTGGCAATGTTGCGATTGGTTTCGTCGAATCTGACATCGGGCAGTTGTTCTGCTGTGTTGGAATCTGAGTCACAACCTCGTGCAGCATCTATCGAAGCGTTCTGTCGGGCATCTCAAGATTCGTAAAGCCTCGCTACGTCTGACGATAGTAATCACGCTTCTGCAGCATTGGAACCTGTGGCAGCATTGCCGTCTCGTGGTTTTGTGATACAGCTGTCGCTGCTTTCACATCCACTCAAACGACTCGACGAGCAGGTCATCTCGCGCAATCGGAGTCACTGCAGCTCGAGGTAGCAAGATGCAATAATGCAGATACGGGCCTGATTGCAACAGCTTCTGCTATCCGCTATGGGACACTTTGGAGTCCATGGTATCGTTTTGGGCGTCATTGACACCCTCAAGTGACTTCCAGACCGATAATCTGGCTGCATTACTGTGAGATCATGCAAAATTGGCATAATCTCACAGTATTACAAAGGACGGCGCAAGCGACGATCCCCTTCGCCATATCACTACAATATCAAAGCACTGCACGAGTTACAACTTCCACCGCATCTGCTGGCACGACTGACCTCTCACGACTTGAGTTGGTCTAGCTGTGCTACATCAACGTCAAGCCAGCACTTGTTCCCGCAGACATGGTGACTCCCGAGTCCGCCAGAGCCACTCCTGCAGCAGTACGTGGGGCGACTGTCACCATTTGCATGTGATGTCAGCCGGACGTGCAGCTACCAAATCCGCAGTCCTTTGACGATGGGAACGCTACGTGCTTTTGCCGAGTGGGCGTACGTATCGATTGACGTCCGCTGCGTTTCGTCGCTTGCTCTGCACTCTGTAATGAGCTCTTTGTCGCGAAACAGTGAAAGAGTGCACGATCAGTGCATCTTCCAAAGAACTTGTGGTCGTTCCCGTCATAAATGCAGTGAACGACTTCGAGATTGTCGTTGTCGTTGTACGCAATCCACGACGACTGTCATTGTCGATCCTGTCATGCCAAGACCGGTCAGTAGATAGCGTGTGTGTGACTGTGTGGCGTTGACTCGGTACGGGGCAAGCGAACGGTGCTGAGTTATCACTGGCATCGACAGGTCTGCTTTGCAAGTTCGAATGAGTCAGCATGACAAGTACCCGTCTGCCACTACTGTGCCATCGCATCTCGCAGTCGATTCGTTCTCGGTGTCGTCCTGCACAAGCACACGTCCCCTGCAACATCATCTGCTACGTATCAGTAGTAATCGATCTCGAGCGTCTGGACAACTGGTTGAACATTACACCGCAGTCTTTAGTGCAACGAAAAGCTGAACTGGAAGCAGTCGGCGTCACGTGCAGACAGTTGCCCCATCCACCCAAAGCCCATCCAGCACTTTCGTGATGCCCACTTGACCCGACCGATTTCGTTGCAGTGTACGAGATGAGCCCACACGAGCTCTGCCTGTTGCTGCCTCAAGTTTTGTCCAGCACAGCCCGTCGGTCGCAAGTTCGTGTGCCCATAATCTCCCGAGTCTCGTTGCACCCACGAGTCGAGCAATGTACCTCGACGACAGTTGTCACGAACACCGTTAGCACATGTTACGCGGCCTCTCGAGTTCCAAAGCCACGTTCGAGCAACGTGACGAGTTGAAACGGTGTGCCGCGCATTGTTGCGGGCAAATCGACAGCAGCAACGAGAGAGAGAGAGAGAGAGAGAGAGATGCGATTGCAGATCACGACACCGAGTGGTTTCGCTCTTCTTCGTGCCGTCTCAACGTTTTGCCCGCGTTTGGACAAAAGAGCTGTGCAATGAACGAAATGCTGTCGAAGGTGTCTTTGATCGCATACTGCACGAGCTGCTGCTGCTGCCTCTTAGAAACAATTGTACTCTCTCGTGCAGCGTTTCGTACAACGACGTAAAAGCACAGCACGAAGTCAATCGCGTGACGCGGCGGTATGTTTGGTAGAGGCGCTGCTTCGGGCGTACGTGCCCCAGTGTAACCTCTTGACGCGTGCGTCGCAAGACGTGTAATGGATCGATCGCCTCCGTTCTCCTCTTCTCCTTTCCCCCTCCTTCGTATCGTCATACTGCTCTCCAAAGTGTCGTTGCGATCGACTCGTGCAGAGGTTACAAGTGCGCCTCCTCCTCATTCATATCCAGTGCTCTCTCTCTCTCTCTCTCTCTCTCTCTCTCTCTCTCTCCCTGCGTCTATGCTATCCACGCAATGTCAAGTGCTTCCTACAACTGATCTCCCGAGCGGTCTTTTCCTTCTGTCTTCGGGGCTCGTCTCGACCGACTGAGCGACTCATTGTCCAGCGGTTGTAGCCTTACACACCCACTCGTACCCCCTTCTTGACGTTGTCGACATTGATTGACCTCTTCCAGCGAAGAGGTAACGCACGCACAGGCGCTTTCGTAACGTTTGTAGTCATGCGGGCGTTCTGCACGGCAGCACCTCTTTGCTTTTCATGCGAGTGAGGCAGTGCGTGTACGAAGGGCGACTTTGTGTGGGTGTGGGGGTATAGCGCAGCAGCACTTAACTCGCAAGGACAGACCGACGACCTCATTGCGACGAATTCCCTATCAGCTGCACGAGGGCCAACAACGCTACCTGAGCACGTTCACCGCGTGCCATTTGCATCGCCCCATGCAATCCTGCGCCACACACGTGCGGTTCAGAAGATGCGCTCCACTCATGTCGTAGACCGTCAACCAACTGCCCTTCAGTTGCTGCAGCAGCAGCAGCAGCCAAACGAAGTGCGCGTTCGCCTCTCTGAACTGAGCTGCGCCTGTAGCGGTTGATGTGGCCACTTGCAACGACCGACGCGACGGACATTCGCGTGGCGCGGGTCCCTAATGCAAAGATACCATTCAGTGTCGTGTGCTCCTCAGACGCCGTGTAGGCCGTTTGCAGCAAACAGTGTCACGGACGAAAGGATGGCACTACCATCATCGGATTCACTCTGCGACTTTACAACCCGTTCGCAACAGCGAACACGAGAGTAAAGGCGGTCGTTCAGACCCCTCGTCCTCCTACCGGCCTGCGAGTGCTTGGGACACACGCACGGGCGGCTGGTTCAAGGACATTACCAGGTGGGTGCTGTTTAACGGCCTCAAGGACGTTGCTCGCACGTCGGAACACATGGGTCAGCTGCTCGACGACCACCAGCAGACTGACCCCCTCAACCGCTGCGGCTACTCTGCAGTCCAATCGGTTAGGAGTCATCAACGCCCGTACCGAAGAGAGCAGCGATGACCGACAGGTGCGACCTGCCCAACAAATCGACAGCCGTCGTAGTGAGCAGCAGCAGCAGCACGAGCCATCCTGCAGATCTTGACGCTGTGGTAGGACGAACTTGTGCGTCTTCGAGCCTTCGCTTGGGCAGATACTACGAGTTGAGCTGTTGTTGTACACTACGAAGCGAGAGATAAACAAACCGAAGAGAACGCGTAGGTGCTGCGTAGCAGACCGATAGTCAACGAGGCGAAAAGCGGTCGAGCTCAACAACAGTCCCGACAACAGTACTTGATCTTCTTGGACAAAGTGCGCTACGGTTGACTGACGACTCCCAATGGCAATGATGGGTGGGATCTCTCTGCGTCTTCTCCTCGACAACTGGCGCTGAGAGTGAGTAATCGCCGGCGTTAGGTGCCGTCGAGATCAGCGCCGGTACGCACTCGTGGCCACTTGCTGTCCGGCGGCCGCCGTGGAGCTTTTTCTACATTGCCCACAACGTCTGGTAAACCACCCGACGGCCGTTGCTGACACGAAACCGTAGCTATCGTCGTCGTCGTGGGTCCCTTACGCGACGATCTTGAAGACGCGCTCCAGATGGAGCGAAAGCGTTCCGCTGCGCGAACAATCGAACGCAAGACGCGGGCGCACGCGTCGCGTGGTGCGACGACGTTGCGAATACGCACCCGATGCGAAGCGATGGACCGGAGGCAAAAAGCAGGTCGTCGTGTCGATCATCGTCACTAGAATAGTGAGACGCGATGCTTCTAACGGTCGATCGCTGGACAGTTTGTCGGTCCCGCAAGTGACAGACCGAACGCAACAGAGGCCGAACGGGAGCGTTGGGGTGCGTACGTACACTCGCTGTTGCTGCAGGCAGCTTTTACATGGCCGCACGACAGTAGTGGACAAAGCAGCCGGAGGCATTTATCGTGTGAAAAAAGTTGCTGCCGGGATTTTCGCTGCATCTGACGGCAACGGACCGCGACTTTGTGGGTCAGAGAGCGATCGTCTTCTACTATAGCAGATGCGGGACGAGAAACGAGGCGAAGGCAGTCGCCACGTGTTAGAATGAATACTACGCGCCGTGTCGTAAAGGATTGACGTGGCGGCGGCGGTGGTGGTGGTGGTGTCTAGAAACGAAACAGCGACGCCAGACTGGATCACCACGAGCCGATTGGGCACGCGAGCGCTGGGCTCAAACGAGAGAGAGAGAGAGAGAGAGTGTGTGTGTGTGTGTGTGTGTGCTGCCTGCAATCGCAGGCGACGCTCCTCGATTACAACGCACAGCGTTTCGTACCGTATGCCGCCGACAGGTGAGTGAGTCACTCGATGCGAATTGGAGACCGACGTCGAAGACGGTGGGGAGAGGTCGCAGGAGTAAAAGTAGTGCGGGGGGGGCCGTCGATTACCCGATGAAAGATCGACGCTACGCAGCACGCGGGAGGAAGTCGGCGTCTTTTGTTATCGGATCCTGTCATTTTGGTCGAGCTCTGCCGTGGCGGAGGACAGCAGCAGCAGCACCACTTCAATCGACAACAACTCTGTCGATGCCAACGAGATGGACGAGAAACGAAGCTGCACGCTCGTCCGCAATGTTATGCAGCCGTTCGTGACCTGTCTCGGCTCCGTGCCACGCTGGACTGAACGTCGTTCGGTTGTCCCCATCTTCTTGTCTTTCTTCCTGCGAAACCCAGAAAGCCGCGCGGCCGCCAAATATAGCAACAGCGACCCTGCTGGAGGAGAACAAGCACACAACCGACTCGACCATCGACCACACGCGCAGCGTCTTGCAATGGCAGATATCAGTCCGGTAGGAAAGGCTTTGGCCAAACTTTCTCACGCGTGTTTGTCTTTGAACTAGTCACGTGCCGTTCGGCACACGCGCACTGCGCGACCCAAACAACGCGCACATTGCCAGCGAGCGACGCCCTCTTTCTCGCGCGCTGCCCCTCAACCTCTATCGGTTTTCAGGACGCTACGAGCGAAAAAAGAGGGTCGAAACGGCCGCTGCTGCTGCGCACCGTTGATGTTGCTCATAATGGCCGCGACGGGAGGAGAAAACAGAAAGCTGGTTGTAGAAGAAGTACGCAGTCGTCGTAGCAGTAGCTGTAGCAGTAGCAGTAGCTGTAACGAGCAGGTCGTCGTCGTCGTCGTCGTTGATGTCGTCGTCGTTGTGCCTCTCTTTTTGCGAGTTGCGGGTGGTGCCGACCTCTGCCAGCAACAGCTGATTCACCCTCGCAGCAATTGCGTGCGGCAATCACACGACCAGCTGGACGTTAGCTTGCGATGCTCATCGCCGACCATCTGCCGGCGTGCGAAGAGCCAACAGCAGTCGCAGTCGCAGCAGCCGCACCGCCGCTGCCGACTCGCGCGTACACAAAGAAGTGCTGTCCCTTGAGCCGCTGTCGTCGTCGCGCGCCCCTCCTCACTCAGCCCTCAGTTTCCATTTGTTCGCCTCTCACGCATTGCCAGCACTTCACGATGACACCGAACAGCAGCGCCAACGTCTCCGCTACTGCTACTGCTACTACCACTGCTACTACTACCACTACTACTACTACCACTCCCTTCTCATCGTCTTCCCCACTGCTCGGTGCAGCAGGCGTCGTCGCCGTCGTTCCCCACGGCGTTCTCAGTTCAACAAACGTCGGTCCGCTCGCGCCCGTGATGCCTTTGCACGTCAAAGCATCTGCGCAACAACCGCATCAACAGTCGTACTCGGGCAAGTGCCAGTACAAAACGGGCAAGTGCTTCAACGAACGGACGCTCAAGCGCAATGGCGACGCGCACTCGCTGTGCGAAGAGCACCGCGTGAAGCAAAACATGATCCAACGTCGCAGCGATCGCAAGTACCAGACGGTGCACGCGATCCGTCGTCGTGAACGATCGCTGCGTCGCGCGGTCCTGAAGAAACAGGTCTCCATGGCCGTGGCGCAGCAGCTCTTTTACGAGCACCAGCAGCAGAAGGTGCTGGCGACGCCCCTACGGTCTCCGCACCATCCCACGCACGTGCACGCGACGGACGGCAACAACTGTACCACTGCGACCCCACGTCCTGCTGCTGCACATGTGAGTCAGGTGCCTCCTATCCGCGTCCCACAGCCGTCGTTGGCCTCGTTGATGGACGACGGCAAAGACGGGGCGTCGTCGCCGCTGGTCTTGTCGTTCGAGCCGCAGCATGCCAACTGCAGAGGCAATGGGTTCAAGGCCGTGAACAAGACGCTGGCGTCAGTTGCAGCGACCGCCTGTTCGGCGAACAGCGGCAAGGACGAGTCGACGCCAACGGGGATCGACAACTACATGCCCAGCTCGTTCGTGCACTTGCCGATGCCCTTTGGCGTCCACACAATGCCTGCGCTGAGCGACGACGAGCTGGACGACATTAGTCTGCGCGACAACTTTGGCTACATGCCGATTGTGTCGCGCTCGGGGGACAAGGAGACGTGGAGCGACGACGACATTGAGTTTTTGCAGACTCTGTTGCTGGCATAGCGAGGAGGAGGGAGGGTCATCACCAGTTACACTCTGTTCGTTCTGCTTGACTCGTAGTCGACCCACCGAGTTGTTCAGCTGTCGCTATATGAATTTATAAGAGCGCCAATGGAAGACTCTTTACCATTTTTGATACGAATAAAGTGCAGGGCATTTGCTTTCGACGTGCTGTGGCTGTCCATCGTAATCGTGGCGTGCAGCTCATCTTTGTACGGCTGACCAAAACCGCTCCTCTCGCTGCGTGTGAAGCGTTCTCCAACGCCTTACTTAAGACATGCACTCATTGACACCGGTGCGCGTGCGCACCACTGGACACACACTTGCACACACTTACACACGTTCAACCGATTGCAGTCAGTTCCTCAGTTGTCAATCAAACGAAACCTAATGGAATTGGAAAAGGTCTCTATTGATACAAGTTGCATTCGGCATTCACGCTTCGGCATTCACGCTTCGGCATGGAAACATCGTCGAGAGGTAGCTGCTTCTCTGCATTTGCAGACGTGAGGTCAAGTCTCGACTATCCGCTCGCTTCAACAACTTTCACGAGCCGAAGTCAACACCAGTTGCCGTCACGGTACAGTTCGGTGCCACTTTGTCACCTTGCTACATACCGCACATGCAAAGGCACTGACGTGTGATCAGACAAGACCTTGCCGCCGCCTAACTGACTCGCCTCGCGCGGCTGTCGTGGAGACCCGTAGTCCATGAACTTGCTAGAGCTTACAACAATGCAATACACGATGCATTCCACTATCCATCGTATCAGTGAAGCAGCATGTAGTACGCCTGGCTTCGTAGTGCCGGGTAGCTGCTTCTCATCGGACCGCGTTGGAAGCTCAGAGATTGCATAAACAACCATGTCAAGCGTATGTCAATTGAGGCTCCGCACTCGATGATGCATTCTCCTCTTGGATATCAGTAACTCGAATCTCTCGTGCTATCGTATGTGTTGTGTAAACGATAAAGACTTTACAGAAACGATGATCCGCGATGCTGGCTCGTAGTAGTTCTCGCAAGCTAGCACAAGACCCTGTATGTACACAGCATACATTGGCGTAGACCCAATAACCTCCATCCCATACATTGACGGCGACAGTTGTACGCCTAGCGCCTGCTTCTTGTACATGTATGTTGGCTATCTTCTGACTTTGTGGACCTGCCTCTCCAGCCTGTCCATCAGGCGTCAGCTGTCGATCAACTCGGCTCACATCATGTCCTCTGCTTCGTGCGTAGCGGCATGTTGAAACGATCCTCTCGCTTTGTAGCATCGTGTCAGCTGCCTTAGTAGAGAGAGAGGTCAGATCGTCGATTAGAGCTACTTATCACTCGTCAGATGTCTGTTGTGTGGAAATCACCTCGGTCATCTACCATGACACGAACTTTCTCCTACCACGTTTCTCATTCTGCTGGCTCGATGCTCCAGACGTCACGGGGGACACTCTCGAAAGGCCACGTGATAATGACTGTTGACCAAGTCCGGGGTTAGAACTTTGTGCGCACTCTTGGCCGGATGGCTAGGCTGCGCGTCGCTTCGCGCTTCATCTGCTTCAGGGGACAGAGGACGCATGGCTAGGAGGCCTGTTCCACTTGGATAGTCCTAGCGTGCCATCTTGACGTAATCCCTGGCCGCTTCCGTGGTGATTGACTTGCTCTGCTCTTCGGGCCGATTCCATTGCACAATCTAGTGCAGACGTGCCCAGGCGCACCACGAGACGAAGAGGATCGTGGCCTGGTGCTTACTCTACATAAACAAACGGTACTGGATCTCAACAGGTCATCACGTTTTTAGGAAAGGCCACCACGTGAAAGTGGGTATCGCGCGCGGCGAGCGAGTCGGCGCGAGGGGAGGCACTTCGTGAAGAGCAGGAACTAACGAAGGCACGGGAATGCCGATCGCTGTCGGTGTTAGAAGTCAATACACAAAGGTAGAGACAGAGGACACACAATCAAATGCAAAAGAGAGAGTGTTGTTAGTTTCGTTATCTCCTGGCTAGCTATCAAATCCTTCCTGCAGAAGAAATCATAAAATGAAACTCCCACAGTTGCTCAACGCAAAAATGATATCATAAGTGATACTGGTACCACTTTCTTGGTACATCAACTTGAAGCTTGCCTTTCAACACTCCTCCTCGTCGACACTATCCTGACAAAACACTTGATCCTTGCTCTGTCATCGTCGACTCCGATGAATTTATTTTAAACCGATCACTTGACGCATCTCGACCAATTTCGGTGCAGCCAATGCCTTCGTTAGTATGTCCGCAGGCATACTTGAAGTTTCTCGATATTCAGGCTTTATGATTCCTCGCTTCGTGAAATCACCGACAAACTTGATGCGCACATCAATGTGTTTGGCCTTAGCCGAAGCTCTCTCACCGTCAAGTTGTTTCAAAGCCGCTTGGTTATCCACTCGCAGTGGTATAGGTTCTTCAAATCTCAAATCTAACTCTTGCAACAGTTCGCGGATGCCCAAAAGTTCTCGAGCCATAATGGATGCAGCTGTAAACTCAGCCTCCATGGTAGAAAGTGATACACCGCCTTGCTTCTTGCACATCCAGCTCACTGGCATGCCATCAATCGTAATCAAACCACCCGTGACAGATTTTCTGTCACCTTTGTCGGCAGCGAAATCCGCGTCACTGTACCCAAACACTTGTAACACCTCTGGTTCATCATCTCTTCCAACCATAGAAAGTCGCAATGTCTTCGTGCCAGATAGGTACCTTGCAATTTTCTTGGCCAACTTATAATCGCCCATCGTGAGCTTATGAGTCCTTCTTGACGCTTTATGCACCGCGAAAGCAATATCTGGTCTGGTGCAACGCGAAATCCATAGTAAACTTCCCACAAGTGACTGGAAAACTTCCACCGTAACCACACCGTCTCCTCCAAATACCGGTAACGGCACAGCTACCGATTCTTCATTATCGTTCCAGTCTTGAGTAATTGGAACACGCACGCTATGTTCCATTTCAAGACCATGCTCCTTCAGCATGTCCATAATTCCAACTTCTTCATCAAAAGCGTACCCATCTTCGTCCGTGTATTGAACACGCATACCCAAAAACTTGCGATCACACCCAAGATCCTTAACCGATAGTGAAGTGAGCTCATCAAAAAATGAATCCACAGAACCCTGATCACTTCCTGTTACCAGAAGGTCATCCACGTAAAATCCAACAATCAATAGATGACCATGTGTCCATCTAAAGTAGACACATATGTCCGTGAGACTTTGTTTGAAACCAATATCAACCAATTTCTGGTGTAGCAATTTACTCCATAATCTACCTGCTTGTTTTAATCCATATAGTTCCTTCTTCAGCTCCAAAACGATCTCATTGTTCTGTACAACACCGATCTTCTTTTTTAAGTCCTCTGCAATCTGCATTTCCTGTGGTACGTGGATGTAATTATCGAGATTATCTTCCTTGTCTGCTTTAACGTAAGCATTTGAAACATCTTCATGCTTCGCAGGCACCTTCCACTTTCTTGCCAGTGCAAAAATCACCTTCACGCTGGACATATCAATCACAGCAGCAAACGTAACTCCATAGTTCACTCCAAAGACTTGTTCATTCCCACACGCGACCAATCTCGCCTTCAATCTCTCGATTCCACCTTCTGCGTCGCGCTTCGTCTTAAAAACCCACTTCGAATGAAGTGCTCGAATATTTTTTGGAGCCTTCACAACTTTCCAAACTCCATTGTTCTCCAAAGCTTGCAATTCCTCAGAAATTGCCTTCATCCATCCTTCCTTGTGACTGCTACGCATAGCTTCACCAAAGTTTCTCGGGCCAGATGTTGTGACAACATTGACAACGTCAGCATCCATGGCTGAACTCTCAGGTCTTTGTCCCTGGCTTGAGCGTTTATTCTTACTCGCCGATCTTTTCACAACCTTCTTCTTTCTTGTCCACGGAGTCCTTTTCTTCATATTCTGTGTCTGGTCATTACGAATCGTCGCCTCCTCCAGATCTTGATATCTTGTATTACCTCCCTCCTGAACTTGGTCTCGCGCGGATTCATTATCTTCCAGACTAGTAGGATTCTGCAGATACAATTCTTGTACTTGCTTGTTCTGGGTCTTGTTCAGTGTCTCAATATTTTGAACATGCTGCGAGACAACGACTACTTTATCCTTCGGCAGGTATACACGATACCCTTTGGTTTCTTCACCAAAGCCAATGATAATCCCTTTTTGTCCTCTATGAGCAAAATTCTTCTTCTTAGGATCTCTGTACACTGTACATGGTGATCCAAAAACGACAATTTCACCTAGCGACGGGGTCTGGTCCGTCAGCACCTTCATCGGTGACATTCGCTCAGCATTCGAATTGTTTGGGGCCCGGTTCAAAATATAAGCAGCGTATTCAACCGCGTCACCCCAGAAATTGAGTGGCAATCCTGACGCAAATATCATGCAACGAGCCATATTCATGATGGTCTGATGCATGCGCTCAGCCTTTCCATTGCTGGCTTGGTTTCTTGCTTCACTTCAATGTCTTGAAACGCCCGACTTCTTGCAGAATAAATCTACATTCTGGTACTCTCCTCCTGAGTCCGTGCGGAGAACGTGCACACGATAATTAAATTTTTTCTCGAAAAAAATCAGAAAATCTTTAAATTTCTTTGCCGCAGCGTCTTTAGTGCGAGCAAGAAATACACGACAATAATTGCTCTTATGATCAACGAAGTTGATCATATAGCGATTATTTAGCCGATCTTTTGTAGTCATCGGGCCCTTGATGTCCGAACAAATAACACCTCCAACCCTGTCAATAGGGGAGTGTTGCCCAGAGTCGTGCCTTTGCTGTTTGTTCTTGGTCTGTTTGCCTTGTGAGCAAGTGTAACAGAATTCGCGACGCTTGTCCGTAAGCAAAAAATCACAATAAGGATCTTTAGCCAATTTTAGTATCGTTTCACAGTTTAAATGACCAAAACGCTTGTGAAAGTCCATTAAACTGCCTTTTTGAACAGCGGATTCCACTTGGACA